TGTCCAGGCTGGAGTGTAGTAGCACCATCTCGGCTCACTGCAACCTCTGCCACCCAGGTTCAAGAGATTCTTGTGTCTCAGCCTCCCGCGTACTGCGACTCCAGATGCATGCCACCACGCCCAGCTAAGTTTTTTGTATTTTTAGTAGAGACGGGATTTTGCTGTGTTGGCCAGGCTAGTCTCAAACTCCTGACCTCAGGTGATCTGCCCACCTTTGTCTCCCAAAGTGCTGGGATTCCAGGCGTGAGCCACTGCGCATGGCCCGGATCACTCTTTATAGCTCCCAGGCCCTCCGTTTTATGTCAGCTCTTAGATTGTGGTCACTGGCAAGGTCTGGTGTCCACCGTAGAGCCTGTGAGTAACGGCCATTCCTGCCAGCATTTGGTGTGGGCACTGATTCTCCTAGCTGTGGGGCCACCTATAGCTGCTTTTGAAGAGCAAAAAGTGACACATACAGAGCTTTCCACCTTCCTCATCTCTGGCCACCACTTCCCTTCCCACCCCAGGCCCAAAATGTGTAGGTCATGGGCTGAGTATCAGCACTCATTTCTGGCCACTGCCCAACGCAGGGAGAATGGACCTCCTGTAGGATAAGCCTGGCATGGCCCCTGGTTTCGCCATGGTGCTGTGTCTGCCTCTCCCTGGGTTGATGGCAAACTTCACTTTTATTGGCCCTGCCTCATGGGTATTCTGTCCAGCAGCCAAGTTTTGAGGCTGATTTTAAGTTAGCCTTTAAGGAGAAATGCCCCAAGACGCATTCTTAGGTCTATGGCAAAAAGTGGTACATAGCTATGGTGGCTTCTGCATTACTGGTAGGCTGTAGGGGGTGAGCATAAAAAGAAGCTGAGGCAGGCGACTAGCTGCCATGGCAAGACAGAGATGGCTGGTCTCCCAGATCCAGATTAACCACTAGGGGACCACTTACTGCCATGGGAAGGACTGTGACAGCAGCGGATGAACACAAGGATTACCTTTCTCCCTGCAGGGGTCTTCACGGCTCCTTATGATGGGCGCTACCTCATCACGGCCATCCTTACCCCTGAGAGAGACGCCTATGTGGAAGCAGTGCTGTCGGTCGCCAACACCAGCGTGGCCCAGCTGCATACGGCTGGGTACAGAAGAGAGTTCCTGGAATACCACCACTCCCCAGGGGCTCTGCGCACCTGCGGAGGTCCAGGTGCATTCCACCTCATCGTGCACTTGAAGGCAGGAGATGCAGTCAATGTCGTGGTGACTGGGGGCAAGCTGGCTCACACAGACTTTGATGAAATGTACTCCACATTTAGTGGGGTTTTCTTATATCCTTTCCTTTCCTACCTCTAGGGTGGTGAGGTAGAGGTCAGGGGAAAGACAGTTGTAAAAACTCCAAAGCTTTAATATATTCGGTTTTATATGTAATAGAAGCACTGGGCTAGAGTTCTCCACATATGTCCTCCCACCTGTCCCAAACATAAAGGCCTTCCCTTGCTGTTGAGGCCACCGTGCCTTACTGCGTCCAGCCAGGCCGTCAAGAGTAAGGCACATGGTGAATGTGGCCACTGACTTTTCTGTCATGTTAACTTGACAACTGGAAGACTTGGAAAGGCCTCCACCTGTATGCACTCTGAGGGCCCTGGACTGGGCCTGACCTCGCCGCAGAGGCTCCATCCAAATGTAGGCTGGGAGGAGGGAGACAGGGGAGAGCGGGTCACTGTGGCTGATCTTTACTGCCGGGTAGCACTGTGGCCAGCTGTCTTTACACTGCACGCAGAAGTTTAAACACTGAAGTGCCACCGCACAGAGACCCCCAACTTGACTTGGGCTATTGCATGCCTGGTTCACCATTGCCGCCTAGGACTTACCCCTACTCACCCAGGCCTTGTCCCAGCTGTAAATGGTGATATGTTAGACTGTTCCCAAAGCTTGTTGGGCTCCTTAAATGACATACAATTTCAGTGCAAAGACAGGAAGTGTCAATGAAGATGTAAAGCCACTTCCAGTTACTTTTGTGAGGCATGCCTTACAGATTGGGAGTTGTTGCTAAAAAGCAAACTGTAGAAAGGAAATTGTTTCAAAAAGGGCTATAGAAAGTAATCGAGTAAAATTAATCTCAACTACAAAACTGTTACCCCTCCCCATCCGAGCTATATACTTGGGTTTTGTTTTTGGTTTCTGGAGATGGAGGTCTAGGCCCCACGTGATCTGCAGCTGGAGGGGCTCCTCTGGGGATGCTGCACTCGGAGCCCACAGCAGCTGCCCAGGCTAACCGTTCCCTGCTGCTTCACTGTACCACTCTCCAGCAGACACAGCTCACAGAGCCTCTCAGGTTCCTAAGCACCAGGAGGCCCAAGATAATGCTGGCAGCTGAGCCCCTCCGAGAACACGGTATATTCCCACAGCAAGACGTCTGCTCTGAGGGGAGGCCCCAGAGTATTAATGTCACCAGCCGCCACGGAGACCTCTCAGTACCCTTAGCTCAAGCCTTAGCTCAAGGTGGTCTCTATGGATCAGGTTGGTAAAATCTGGCTAATCAAGTCCCACTGGGGATGAGGAAGGAGACCCTTAATCCTCTGAAGCTTCTAAGACCCCTTCCCCCTAGACTTCCACATTGCATTTCCATTGGAGAAGTACAGGCTGGCAGACCGGGTGCCGCCCTTAATCACACTCCTATGGATTGCAGGCATGATGTGGAGGAATCCTTCCAGAAGGCATTGTTTTTGCTTAAATACGATCAAATCCCCACATAGTCACATACCCCACACCTACTTCATGGATCAAGACCCTTTCACATGTAAATTCTAAAATTGTAAGCCTTTAAAAGGGCAAGGATTTTGTCTGGGAGCTCTGTTGTTGAAGTATTTTCACCTGTGGCAGCTCCCAGCTGAATAAATCACCACTTCCCTCCCTGTTTGGTGTTCAAGAGGTTTGTTTGCAGTGTGGCTCCTGCTTCAAGGAAAGGTGTGCACAGTAGAAACAAGAGCTGTGGTTTCCTTGGCCCGCATCGAGCCACTAGATGCTCTTATGCTGTAAAAATGCCCTAAAGACTGTATGCAAATTAATTTAGAGGGTGGCCACTGGACATTTCAAAGTTCCTACTTATTCCCCCGACCCTAGCTAGGAAGACAAACAAGAGCTAAATGTCTGCCATTTTACTATTTAAAATTTGGATCTCTTTGTCCAGGAGCAGGAGGGAGAATGGTATCTCACCCCGTTACTACAGCTGGGGAACTGGCTAAAGGGAGCTGTCAGAGTATCCTTGGCTGCCCTAGGAATGACTCATGGAAAAAGCCCCAGTTGCAGCAGTGTTTTCAGGAAAACCCAGCTGGCATGCGCCATCGCCCCCTCCCCCACACTCCTTTTGAAATGACCGCACTCAGTGCCCAAGGGACGTGGCTCAAGAGCTGCAGGGGCAGGTTCCAGGCAGAAGGTGGGTGATGACTGCCTGACGCTTTCCCTACTCCGTAGACGGCTCTGGAGCATTGGGTAAAACCCAGTCCTCCTCTCAGAGCATCTCAACTCACCAACAAAGGTGAATCTCAGCTCTGTGTATTCAATCAAGACAGGCAAAACACAATACCCCTCATTATAGCTGCAGCCTGCCTCTGCTTTGAGATAAAGCAGGGTAACAGCTGGATCCTGGCCCATTTAGGAGACATCTTTAGAAAGGAAAGGCTGTCTTTCTGTATAGGTAGTAGAACAGAAAGGGTCAGCACTATATAGGGTCAGCGGAGCTTAAGGCTGTGGGGTTCTGAGCAGCCCCTCAAGAAGTCATCAGACCCTCAGTAGCGTGCCCGTGAGTCAGAGGCATACCAAACCCTGAGACACAGGCAACAAGTTCACAACTTCTGATACCACGCTGTTGCTGAGAAAAGGTCAGGACATTTCTTAAATAGAGAAGGACTGTGACATCCCCTCCTCACCTCCATGTAACACTCGCAAATGGTCTCATTTACATGATTAAAAACAAAATGGTATCATCGATAAATGCACATCTTAAACTGCATTTGAAATTATGTCCTGGTTGGCATGCTAATCCATATTTCCGTGGTGACTAATTGTTTCTCACAATTTATGTATTTGCAGCCTGACAGGGAGTATTTGTGATTGGAATCACTTAAGTTCATGCCTGTAGCTTGGAAACCCGGGTTTGCACATATCCGCCCCACAGCCCCTTTCTAAACATAAATGCGTATTTTCCTTATGCCATCCTATAAACGGCAAGGAAAAAGGAAGGACACACCAACTCCAGTGGGTACAGGGCACAACAGAAAGAAGCCACACACAGGCACGTCGTCAGAGCTCAGGGATAAAAAGTCCACTGATCCTCTGAAGCCCTCAAAGCTGCTCTGGGTAAAGACCATTTCCTTTGTAACCAATCTCCCTGAGCTCTTGTGTTCCCAAAGACCGATAGTTGCTGTCACCCAGCCATCAGGTCATGGCAAGGAGGCAGGAAATGCATAACATTTCCATTCTGAACTCACAATCACTGGAGGGCCTTTGGGATGCAGGGTTCAACATATGCTGTATCTGGTAAAGGCCCAACATTCTGAGAGGACAAAAAGATCACCATTTAAATAATATATGGGATGTAGTTTTCATGAAAGGTCACTCTGACTCTGTGATAAAAACATCAGGATTGATTGCTAAATCGTGTCCACCCTGAGGAAGGGTTTAAGGAAAGGTGGGGTGTCCCAGGGCTCTGGACAGGACTCCCAGGAAATTCAAGGGCTGAGTGATAGGAGATAAACACAGCCTCCCTCCTGGACAGAAGCAAGACCACAGCAGAAGTCACATATGGATGGCTTTTTCTGGCAGAACATACAAAGCAAGAGATTAGTTCCTGGGGGTGCAGCTGCACTTCTGGGGCCAGGTTTTAAAAATAAGCAACAAAAAGGATCCCCTCCTGTAGACAAATTTAAGTGTCAGCAAAGATCAAGATGCTAATTTATGGAAATTACCAATTTCTGGCAAGAATCTAGAGAAATAGTTTCAATGTCCCCTGAATGGAAGAGCCTAATGCATTCAGTTTCTGTTCATTTATTGTAACACTTTGTTTTGAACATCAAACACTGCATCAAAATATGAGCCATTCATCTTGCAACAATTGCTTTACCATAACTAAGAGTACTATACTGATGTTTACAATTAACTTGGGACAACTTAAAACTTACTAGAGACATTGCTGTCAATAATCAAATACTTCATCATAGGAACATAATTATTTAAAAAGCAAAGTTTCCCCTCCCTTTCTTACTTTCAAACCAAACCAAAAGAGTAGTTTTCACCTGGAAAGAGCACTTCGGGGAAAAAATCATTTTTTAAACATTTTTATTAAATTCTGGAAACTCAAAAACATGGGAAAACATCCTAGTATGAAAAAAAGATGAAATTCCCTGAAGTCTGTTTTCGCCGACTTGCAAAAAGTGAAAGGGCCGATTTCTGTTTATTCTTTAAACTATTAGCCTGCACCCACTATACCAACTGTGGAAAGACTGTGTGCAGGCCCCACAGTTGCAGGGGCTATTCAGGGGCAGCGTTTCCCAGTCATCCAATCTCCTTTATCACTCAGTTGTTCTGTGACTTTGAGCAGCTTTCATTTTAGGACATCCCATTTTTAAGTTTTTTCTTTCTCCAGTTGAAAACTATGTAGATGTTTTTAGACAGAGCAAAACAAAACACAGAACCCAAACATGGAGACAGCCTGCATGCTCCAGGTCTACACCAGCACCTCACAGTCTGACGAGAGGCAGACAGCAACTCACGCAGAATGGGCTTCAGCACATAGACAGCAAAGCAAATACGAGTTAGACTGAATTGCAAAGAGGGAAAGGGCCACTTCACCAGTGGAGCAACTGACAGAATGACTTAGAGCCCAGTCTGCCTGCAATCTCCCTGAGCCATCACCCGTCACTGAAGATAGTGCAAGGGTGATGCTTCAACTCACCATCCTAGGGGTTTGTGTACAAACACATTTGAGGGCATCTCTTTCACAGAAAGAACAAATGTCATTTGTACCAAATGGCAATGGATTTTAAGCACAAACTTAATACTTTCCTAACACAACAGCAATAGTAATCATCTACTTTCAGCAAGAGGGACTCCTTTAAACAAGGAAAAAGACTCACATTAATTAGCCTATGTACCCACTGGATCAATCTACAGCAACAAAGTCTAGTGCTAGCAGACACAGGGACAGAGGGACCAGCCACCCTAAACACAGGACAGGGCCAGGAGAGCTGGGTCCTAGGCTGGACCCTCTAAGGAGGCCCATGTGTCCAAAGAGAAGAGCTGTCAAGAAAAAGAACTAGTCAAAAACTCTTTAAAGGACAACCTAAAAAGGATTAAAGATGTATACTAAGATTTTTAGTACCATATATATGCAAAGAAGTCCTACTATAAGCTCAGTTAAGCACATAAAGCTCTCCTTCTTTCTCTAAATAGAAGGCAGTCAAGAGGACACGCAGATGGCATCTATGAAACGAGGTGGCTGCATGGCTGCTGTACTAGATTTTAATTCACAAACTGCGCAGAACTTCATATAAACAGAACCCAGGATCCCTAATCTGTAGATAAATAAACTCATTAAACAATTAGTCCTTGTGAACTATTTAAGCCGGGGGAAGCTTTGCACCAAAGGCTCATGTGGTATCTTCTCTGGGAACATGTGCCTTCCTAGGTTTTGCCACTGAGAACTGTGTTCAGGGGATTTAAACATTGTCTCTGCATCTGACAGCACTAGGAAAAATGGCTGAAATCAGTCAGGGACTTTCGACTCTCCAATCTGGAAAAATAACCACCCCTATTTCTCCATCTCTAAATCAGCATTATCTTAGGTGAAACAAACCCAAACATGCACAGGTTCCACTACAACGGCAGGGCCATGAAAAGTTGGCCATGAGACTGAGCACCAAGCCTGTATCTGCAGCTCCCTCTCTGCTCAGGAGCCACCATGTCCTGTGTTCTCACCAATGGAGACCAAGACCTGGGGTTGGTTCTGGGCTCCTGACAGTTCTCTCAGTGTTAATAGTGCAGATCTGTCAACACCCAGCATTATCAAAAGCTCTGGAGGGGCTTACGGCATACCTTTCCCTGGTGCCATCTCTTCAGACATACGATGTGAGCTCATTACAACCGCATCAATAAATGGAGCTGCTATGTATAATTTAGTGAAAATACATGGGTACCCATGTCCTCACGGGATCTCACAAGGCTGGGGTGGGGACAGTGCTAGGAGGGGGCAGCTTGCTCCATAGGAGCTCCAAGACCCCTCTTTGACACAGGCTCGAGGCTTCCACAGGCCCGAGGCTTCCACAGGCCCGATTACAGGGTGTGGTTCCAAAAGCCAAAGTCACACACTGCTAGTCAGTGCCTTTAAGCAAGCTTCACTGTGCTTCCCTGTCAAATCTCAATCACAGAATTTTAGAAATCTTGTCCTAAAGCAAGACACTTTCCAAAGGCCCATTTATGCCAGGCAGCAAACAAAGAGATACAGCGCTCTTCCCAGGACCCCATTCAACTGCATATCTGCATTTCTGAGGCATCCCTAAAAGCAGAGTTGTTGAAGGGTTTTTGGTTTGTCTTAAGACCCACCTTCCCACTTTTATTATAGACATCAAATATATACCTGTAAGACCTGTTCTGGTGAAGTCTAAGAATAACTTAAAGGGCTCCTGGAGTCGTCACAGATGACAGGAGGATGTTCTGTGGGGATCTTTCCCCCCAGAGGGTCACGTTTATGGGACTGGGCTCAGTGGTTCTGGTGCATGGGCCTGGGGCAGGGGTCCTGCCCAACTTGCCTCACTGGAGCAGCTGACCTGTTCAGTGTAGCGAGAAACGAGATGCCCAAAGAAGAAATGTGCACAGGCAGCTTCGGCCAGCATCACTGACAGGGCTTGCAGTCGTTCAGGGACCCTGACATCTGAAGACAGCCCTGGTCAGAGAGAGAAGCCACCTCAACTGCCCAGTGGAAACTGTAACTTCACTGTGTGCTGTGTTTTGGTCCACTCTTCTTTAGCTGCTTTTTTTCTTCCTTTAAAATGATGCAATGGAAGGAGCTCCCAGCACACAGCAGGAAGCATGTGTGCGACCCACAGAGGAGAGATCCCAGGTCTCCAGCCCCAGGGCCCAGTTCCTCCCTTCTCCTTCCAGGAGCTGAGCTGCAGCCTTGCCGAGCTGGGAAGGCAAAGGAGGATGGCAGGACCAGCTCTAGGAGCGCCCGTCCCCATGGGAAAGGCTGGTATCCAAGGTCAGCAGAAGGGCCAGCCACCTTCCCTTGCTGTGGGGAGGTGGACCAAGCCCCACCCACCCCCTGAGGTGCTGCCTCAGGACAGGTCATCCAGGTCCACTTCAGGTATTGGGTCTCGCCAGTAGCAGAAGGAGCTGAACTCTGGGCAGGGAAAAGCAGAATTCTGTTCCTTACTGAGAAGGGGAAACACGTGCTCCACGAGCTCACTCAGCCTGTGATACCTAGGAGAAGGGTTGGGGAAGAGGCAAGGGCTATTACTTCAAGATCGGTCAAAGGAAAGAGATAAGGGGCTATGACGCTGTCACTCGGATTCCTCAGGTGGGCAGGTTCAGAGGCAGGCCTCAGTCCCATTTTATAAGTCTAGGATAATCAGGAACCCCTCAAAGAGCTATTGGGAAAAAGAGATACCCACAGAGCAGATGTAGCTATCCTTTGAGTGGGGCCTGATCTGGGATCGGGGGGCAAGGGACAGGGGCTATCTTTCCCCAACTATATCCCCTGACTGCAGGGCGCTGGGCTGAGAGCTAGGAATATACTTACGATGACTTGTTTCCTTTGGTTCTTTCTTGTATTAATTCACCCTTGGGGTTCACGGTGAATATTCTACAGTCTGGAACTCCAACTTGTGTGTAGGCATAGACATCCTGCAGAAGAAAACAGCAAGCGGGTGATTCCAAGGGAGGAGAAATCGGGAGATGCTTCTCAGGCTCCTTGTGAGCCAGAAGCACTGCACAGACAGACTCAATGGAAAACATGTGGAGCTGGCACAGTGCAGCTGCCACTGAAACTGAACTTCAGACAAACCTAAACTTGGAGAGTCAGAAAACTCCGGCAGCCACCAAGGGGAAGCCAGGGGCCCTGGGGCAGATGAGGCCAGGAGGCCATATGTGCACACCTGAGGGGTGATGGCCCTGTGGAAGGGAGGCAGGTTGGGAAGTGCTAGTGAAGGGCCAGCACTGACCCTGGCTCTGGGGTAGTCCAAGGACACACCTTAGAACTGCTTAGAAGGAGTCAGAGCCACCTGAGGAAATGGAATGGCAGCCACAGAAACAAAGGGAAAGTGTCCTTCATAGAAATTCTGGGGCAGATTTGCACCGACAGGACTTCCCCAGTTTCTACAGAAATTTGGAACAGATTTAGTGAAAACCGAGCGAGCACAACAGATGTCTCATTTTGCTTACAAAACTTTTTTGAGAATGGGATGTGGCTACACCCCAGGAAGTACATCCCTCTGAATTTCACCCACATCAGAACCCAGAGCCCAGGAGATACTCACATTTGGACGGTTTCCAAAGGCAGCATAGAAGGGCTGCTTGGACGGGGCAAACAGATTCTTGATATCATTTAGACACTCAATTTTGAACTTCTCCGGTTTCTTTTCTATCACTTCTCTGTGAAAAAAATACAAATACAATCACCAAACTCTAAATGGTCCTTTTCCCCAGTGAGATGTCCTGAAAAAATGTTAGTGCCCACAGCCACCCAACATCTTCAATCCTTTGTAAGTGGAATCTTTCCTCTTCCTCCTTTGCCAGTTTGATAGCTAAGAAAATCTGAGTGATGAAGTTTAGGGAAGGAGAAAATTTGACGGTTCCTAGAACTTGGCTTTCTTCCCCAAGCAGTATGTGGTAGGACACCACAGAGGCCAAAGAACTGGGAGAGGTGTGGCAGCTCCAAGGTCTGATATCTGTTCCCACACATCCTCCCACCTTGGGCCCAGCCCTGTCTACGTGTGGGTGTACCTGTGGAAGGCGGAGAACAGGCTGCTGGGGGACAGCATCAGGGGACCCCGGGGCAAGATCGTGCCCTTGTCATTGACCCAGTGCAGGTAGCCACGGGTCATGTCAGCCATGCCAATGGCACGGGCCGAGCAGTACAGGAACTTGTAGCCATTCCTGAAAGAAAACACACCCTGTTAACCCACATGTTTTGGCTAAGAAAAAAAAAAAAACACCAATATTTTTCTTTTCTTTTCTTTTTTTTGAGACGGAGTCACTTTGTTACCCAGGCTGGAGCGCAGTGGCACCATCTCGGCTCACTGCAACCTCCACCTCCCAGATTTAAGTGATTATCTTATCTCAGGCTCCCAAGTAGCTGGGATTACAGGTACGCGAGACCGTCTCTGGTTAATTTTTCTATTTTTTAGTAGAGATGGGGTTTCACCATGTTGGTCAGGCTGGTCTCAAGCTCCTGATCTCTGATGACCCGCCTGCATCAGCCACCCAAAGTGCTGGGATTACAGGTGTGAGCCACCGCTCCCAGCCTGAACTTTCCTTTTAAAAGATCCAAATATAGTTCCTCTCATTTACTGTGAAAACCAAATTCTCCAATTTAGCAGGAAACTGCATAGGATTATAGAGATTTCACTAAGAATTATGTTAAATTTTTAAGTACTGATACAAAATGTTCAGCATCTAGTCCAGGAAAGCCATATTAGAGAACAGAAAAAACCTTGGACTATCTTTAAATTACTTACTGCAAAGAAAAAATATGGGGGATCTTATTTGTAAAGGCAATGTGCAAGATGCAAACCACTTCATCAGATAAGAAGCAAAATCATACTCAGGTAACTGACATATTCTTAATTTTTCATATTATGGCATTCTCAACTAATGCTGAAGACACTGAGATTCTTCAGATCAATGTAATGTATGTATTAGGATCCCACAAAGGCCATGGCACTGCTATCTTCCCCCCACGAAGGATGCCCCAAGAGAGAGCAGCCCATGTGAGAACTATTTCCCCCATGCCCACGTGCACTATCTCCACAAAGAAATACAGTTTTAAAATATCCAGAAAATAAACTAACAATGCAAATCACCTCTCTTGTTAAATTCTAGCCAAAAGAATAACTATAGTTTCAGTTGTAGGTGTAGGTAGTGCCTGAAACACACAGCACCGTGAGAATTAACTGAGATGACATAGGTAAGACACATCGTGCGATGCCAGGTGTACATGGCTCACCCATCACCAATGGGAAAGGAGTGAGGAAGAGCAGGAATGCTGCAGCATAAACACATGATTTATGTGGACTGAAGACAGACACCACTGTTCTATAGTTATTATAATAGTTATTAAAGCAAGCTTCCAGCTCACTAGAGCGAGTTAACATGTGGGGAGGTACCTACTCATTGATGGAATGGTAGAGCTTTGCTATACCCTGGTGAGTCCAGTCTTTGCCCAGCTGTGGGAGAATCTGTCCCAAAGCATCAGACCTAAGATGACAGTAGAAACGGGAAAAGGTATCAGGAATCAAACATATATTCCTGTATGATTGACTATCAGCTGTCAATAAATAATTGGTGACGGGACACTCCTGAAAGTGGATTTCATCACAGCTTCATGCAACTGCAAGGGAGTCCCTGCAAATGTACCCACTGAAGTGCTTCTGAAAGTGGAGTCTCCTGAGCGCCAGATGTGTGTGTTCGGAGGTTAACTGACCACCACGCATTCTCTTTTCTTCTACTCTAATGTCAAGGGGCTTCTTTGTTTTCATATCAGAATTGAAACCAAATTAATTAAATCTTTCCAAAAGTGATTTTTGACATTTGTTATGTCCCCCCCATCTCCTCCATGCAGAATATGACCCCATGTGGACTATATTGGAGATGCCTCAGGGCATATGGCTTTAAAGTGCCTTGGCTGAGGGCTGCGAGCCCTAAGTGAGGAACTCCCCACCACTCACTGCCTGCCCCTCCCTGAATATGGGGTTGCTCCCTGCCACCTACCCGAAGGATGGAGCTTACTTGGTAATTGTCCCATCAATATCAGAAATGATGATCTTGTCATTCCAGTTCCACAGGTAAATGGTTCCCGCACAGCGACAGGTGCCTTGATACTGGGTTGTAATACTAAACACAACATCATTTGGGCCATCATGGAGCTTCAGTTTTGCCTTTTTAAAAGCATAAGAATAAAGAAAATCAGCTGGAAACATATGGTTCGAAACAATTTAAAACGTTACAGAACAATTGGTAGCTTGGAATCCCAGCAAGAGGCAGGATGCTTTCCAGGGTTTCAAACAGGCCACCCTATGCCCAGCACAGCTAACAACGCTGAGGGAGCCACTGCCTCAACAGTGTCATAGGGTTCCAGGGACTTCGCTGAACCCCCACAAAGCAAAAAGTACTCTTCGTCTACTACTCTTCTACCACACCTGAGAATCACTGCTTTAGCCATAGCCTGCTCTGGTCCCAGCAAGACCCTTTCACACTGAAAATGGGTCAAAGTCAGGGTGGAAAATAAACAAGAGAGGAGAAATTGTGTCTAAAATATCATTTCGTTATTGCTGTGGCTCCTAAGAGACAGTACCTGGCCCAGCGCTGGGTTAGCTATGCATGACTAACTCTCAGAGATGGAGGAAGGATGTCTGGGGTGGATGGCAGGAGCCGAGTCATAGGTTTCCCAGGTGGGCCTGATGGCTCTTGGGGGTGGGAGTCATGGTTCCACTGTGGGTAGGCATTGACACGACCACGACATGTAGTGTGTATGCAGCTGGGGGACGGGTGGACAGAAGAGGATGTGCATCGAATTAAACCATTACTAAAGTAAGTCCTACACGGATCATGCAAGACTCACAATCTGGTCTGAGGAGAGGCGGAGAGACTTCTTATATGAAGTCGTGCTGCCATGGCTCAGGGGCTCTGTGGGAATGGGGTCCACTTTGACGGATTCTTCCAGCTCCTGTGACCCCTCATCACTTGAGGAGTCATTCTCGGCCGGCCTATTCAACATCAATCCAATTACAGAAAGAGGAAGAAGGGCATTTTATTGATGAGAGCTTTTCATTTAGGATCAAGAAAATAAAAATATCCTAAATCTTTTCTAGGAATGGGTAGAGTTATTCCCTTCTGCCATTTTCCCATTGCCACAGCTCTTTCTGCCTGAAATTCATATTGTTAACTGATAAGGCCACTTTCATAATTGGCAAGCACTTACTTTCTGACTATGACCTGCTATTTCCTGCTATGCCCAGTGAATGCTAGATCTACTAACTCTTCTTGAAAAGGATATGTACATTTCAAAAGATACAAATTAATCATTTACAATGATTTAACTAAACTAGGGGCTGGGTGCGGTGCCTCATACCTGTAACCCCAATACTTTGGGAGGCTGAGGTAGAAGGACAGCTTGAGCCCAGGAGTTTGAGACCAGCCTGGGCAACATAGGGAGACCTCGTCTCTATAAAAAATTTAAAAATTAGCCAAGGGTAGTAACACTTGCCTGTAGTCCTAACTTTGGGAGGCTGAGGCAGGAAGATTGCTTGAGCCCAGGAGTTTGAGACCAGCCTGGACAACATAGCAAGACCCTGTCTCTATAAAATACAAATTTAAAAATTAGCCAGCCGTAGTATCCCACGCCTGTAGCTACTCAGGAGGCTGAGGCAGGAGGATCACATGAGCTGAGGAGCTATGATTGTACCACTGTACCCCAGCCTGAGTGACAGAGTGAGACTCTCTAGAAAACTAGTAAGAAAAATTTTAGACACCCCTTAAAAGAAAAGGATAGGGAGTGGTAAGGGACAAGAAAATAAACCCTCAGTCTTAGACACTAAATGAAACAGGCAAGGGGCTTGGGGAGATGAACAGGCAGAAGTAGGAATAGGGTGTATCTCGAGCAAGTCCTCTCCCAGCTGCTCAATCAAACTGTCCAAAGAATGCTGTTTCTTCCAGGAAATGAAATCCACCCAAACCAACCTTCAGATTATTTTTTTATATCTCCCTTTGGCATATGTCTCCTTTGGGCTCCAATGGGATGCAGGGGGAGCAGGGGCACCAGGACAACATGGCTAAAACATTCCTCATAACCCCTTCCCATACACCAATGCCACAGCTCCATGAGGAGGCAGGGTATTTAGGAAGCAGAGATTAGTACATTTATTTCTCTAAGCTGGTGACAGTTTTTAGAAAGCAGTTGGAACCTGCTGAGTGGCACAACCATATCACATCATGTCATATCTGTAGAAGATGTTCCCAAGAACTAAACAAGCTGTCAAGATCAACTAAGAAGTAATGGCCCTGCTAGGAGGGCCCAAGTGCTGTGAGCTGGGCAGAGAACAGGGTGCCCACCTGGCACTGGCTGGCTCCTTGGCGCTGGATGGCAGGTCACTGGCCGGTGGTGCCTCAGATTTTCCCTCCTTGGATTCTGGCAGCTGTAACAGCGAGATGATAATGGCAAAGTGCAATTTTTTCCCTACAGATAAGCCAAATTCATTAGCAGCTCTCTCTAGGAAAGAACGCAACTGCTTTCTGAACCCATAACTTTAAAATGCACGAAAACCAGACTATCTCTATTCTGAGCCAAAGAATTAGAAACCTAAGACAGAAGTCATGTGCTTCTATGCAAATCACTCTCCCCACAGACCCAGAAGTAAAACATTTTAAGAGCACCATTTCAAGTCACAAAACATAATACAAACGACACAAACTTGTTAGGTCCCCAGCTTCCTTCTCCTCCTGGGAGTAACTAGCTCATGCAGAAGGGACTGAAAAGCAGCCCCCATGTTGACGTGGACATGAACTTGGTTCAGGCAATGATTTCCCTTCTGATATTTGAAAAACAGGTAAAATTCCCTGAACCTTCTTTTTCAGAAGGTGTTGAGGGAAAAAAGACTTGCTCTGCTGCTGGTTTAGTATGATTCTCTGGATGAACCTACATGGAGGCCTGGTGGCAAATTCTGGTTATTTGCATCTGGAGCTGTGCAGGGGGATGCTAACCTTCTGCTCCTATCTGATAGGTAATGCAGTGCAGTGGAAAGAGCACAAGATCTGGAGTCAGACTCAGGGTCTAGCCCCAGCTTAATCACTCACTAGTTATGTGACTTCGTGAAGCACCCAAGTTTCCTTACCTGCAAAATGGTAACTCAAATATCTCTAGTGCTGAGCTATAGTAAAGAACCAGGGGTAATGTACAGAAACCACTTGGCACAGCACCTGCACGTAGTAAGTGCTCAAAAATGGGAACTGCTATATGGTAAAATAGCACTATATAGTCCACACTCCTGTGCCTAACAAAAAGGTTTTTCAAATAAATGAAAGTTTCACTTCTTTCTGACCATGGAAACAATGACTTCTAGGTTGTTACCTGTTTGGTCATGCTTTCTCTCTTTCGCCAAAACCACCAGCGACCAGATTTCTTTGGCATTTTATCTTTGACCCAGGACTCAACTGTGGCCTGAAAACAACCAACCTGGGTTAGTCTGGGCAATCTGTTGGCCACACAGCACCTACCTTCTATGCTAACCTGCAGGACAGGGCCTTACTATGGAATGTGAGAACGTGAGCGATACTCTTTCCACCCCTCCCAGACTCCTCCGGGGTTTTCAACACCTCCAAGAGACAGACCCTGTCCTGCTTTCATGGCAGCATGGCTTCATGACAGCTCTGTGGCCTGGTTTAGGGGCTGACAGGTGGGCAAATCTCATTTCTCTATCTTTGGAAAATGTGGTTCTCAGGAGTTAAGAGGACCAACTAGGCGTCTTCTTGGTGGACAGATTAAAAACAAATTTTGAGTTTGCATATAATAGGTATGTTAGCCACAATCTGCCCAAACCACACTGATGTTAAGCTTCTCTTGACTACATCATCATCTTCTTGCTGCTTCTTTCCATAATAACGGGAGAAAAAGTTTTTTTCATTCATAATGATATTTAACTTATGATTAGTAAAATCACTCTACTTTTACAGACTATCAGAAACTAGCATTTATATCTAATAAAAATGAAATAAAGAAGTGGCAGCCCAGCTAATTTCCTAGTTTAGGAATGAGATATTTTTAGTGGGTACATATGACTTTTGATCTTTTATATAAATATTAAGGCTCACATAAAACTCTGAATGGTACCCAGTTGAGAAATATGCACATATGGATTTGTCTAAGTACTAGACACTGTGGATGCTTTCGGAAAGGCAGCAGATGGTAGATCGCCTCACCTTAGGCAAGCTCTTCTGGAATACTTGCAAGCTAAGGATCATGGGAGCTGCCAAAGCCCAGTTATAGTAACTGTGAGAAACAAAAATTGTGCAAAACCATTACACAGTGAAAGAGAGCAAGAGAGAGGGGGAGGGAATCGGGAAGGGAGAGAGGAGAAAAGTGATACATAAAATTGCTTATTCTTTTCAATAAAGATGATCAGCTAAATTTTTTGTCACATGAATAACCTTTGTTTCAAGCACAACTCTGAACAGAGAAGCCATAAAATCTATCAAACAGAATAACATTTCAATGCTTCATTTAAAAATAAAATTGAAGCTTTACTTTCACTTCAAAGTCATTGCCCATTAGCTAATTTATATGAGGTGACAAGTTTTAGAAAAAGGAAAACTGTAACAGTTAAAAATAGCACTTGTAAAAAAACTGCAAGAGTATTTAACAATGATAAAACGAGTATTTACCGATTATATATTCTTATTACAAGGTTAGGATTGTCTATAAGTCCAGGGTTTTCTGCAAATTCGTGATAAGTAATGATATGCTCCATGAATTTTTCTGCAACGTAAAAGAATAATCAATTTGGTTAGAGATTACATAAATTCCTATATGAGATTATTACAATACTCTGCATTGCAGAAACTGCAGGCAAAAACATCTTCCTAAAAAAATTAATTTTTGAATATCCATCAAAAGCAAAATGTCAGATGCCTTTTTCCCTCCCCAGGACAAAAATAACACTTCCTTTCTTTCTTTCTTTTCTTTTTTTAGATGGAATTTCACTCTTGTTGCCTAGGCTGGAGTGCAATGGCACGATCTCAGCTCAATACAACCTCCGCCTCTGGGGTTCAAGCGATTCTTCTGCCCCAGCCTCCTGAATAGCTGGGGTTACAGGCGTCCACCACCATGCCCAGTTAATTTTTTTTTGTTGTATTTTTAATAAGAGATGGGGTTTCACTATATTGGCCAGGCTGGTCTCGAACTCCTGAACTCAGGTGATCCACCCACCTCAGCCTCCCACAGTGCTGGGATTACAGGCAAGAACACTTCTTTTCTATTCTCCTTTTCCACTGTCTCCCAATGAAAACAAACAAATTAGTAAAAAGGGACATGCCAGAGACTTTCAAAAAAATACATACAGATGTGGCTAGAGAGGAATGGAAGACAGACCCAGAGACAAAGACAGAGACAGAGACAGACAAAGACACACACAAATGAAAACTGTAAGTTCCATTCTCAGAGGAAGAAACTTTATTGGCAGGTAATGGTACATCTGGGGAATATTCATAGGGGTCTACATCAAAACATATCTTAAAATTGCTTGGGCCAGGCACGGTGGCTCACACCTGTAATTCCAACACTTTGGGAGGCTAATATAGGCAGATCACTCGAGGTCAAGAGTTAGAGACCAGCCTGGCCAATACAGTGAAACCTCGTCTCTACTAAAAATACAAAAATTAGCCGGGTGTAATGGTGCACACCAGTAATCCCAGCTACTTGGGAGGCTGAGACAGGCATGAGAATCTCCTGAACCCGGGAAGCGAAGGTTGCAGTGAGCCGAGATGGCGCCACTGCACTCCAGCCTGGATGACAGAGCGAGACGCTGTCTTAAAAAAACAAACAAACAAAACCAAAACCAAAACTTATCTTACAATTGCTTGGAGAATTTAAAAAAAAAAACCACCTAGAATTTGGCTCAAGGTCTGCTAAATGAATTCGAAGTTCTTGCAGAGTAAATGAGGGCTTCCCATGAATTTTTGTTCCCTGTTCCTAAACCTGTTGTCTCCTAGATCTAGGCTCGTAGAAATTGCTCACTTGGATTGTTTCTCCGAGTGATGTGTATATTATTTACTTTTACTTGCCATTTCTGCCCCTTCCAGCAAACTCTACCAGAATAAGTTACCAATTTTTAAAACCAAGGTGTAACTTTTATATTTTACATAAAATTTGTATTTCTCATTCTCTCCCATATAATTTTTTAAACTGAACATTTAAGATAATTACAGAAAGAATGTGATTTAGCTTTGTCCCTAGAATAAACCACTGGCCATGACACACTTTAAACTTCTTGCAAAATATAAAGCAAACAAATAATGAAGATTTGAGAAGAGAAGAAAGAGGCATGAGCTTCCTGTGACCGGCAAAAGGAAAGACTTCAGAACACATGGTCCTGAGCCTCTGGGCACGCAGTCTGCCACATCACACTTTCAGTTCCTCTAGAGGGAAGACAAAAGGTAACACTAGTCACGGAAAGAAAATCTTTCCTTAGAGGAAAATCAAATGGGGGCCAGAGGCAAAACTAGGAAATACTAAGAAGAATTCAGTTTAAAAAGGAAGGTTAAAAAAAAGGGCTGATGAACTGAGGACAGATACATAGCACTCAGCCCTGCCTACAGGCTTCCTGACACCTCCACTAAAATCTCGATTCTTGAGCAAGCTTCTCTCTCATGGACCACCCTCCAGCCTTATATAGAAAGTAGTCCTCCTCCTTTTTGCCAGAAAGACCATTTACTCAGTAGACAATCAGTTTTCCACAACTTCAGGGCCCTATATTCATGTCTAAGGCCTAATGCTTTCCAGAAGGGCAGTGGGGCCCCAGTACCACAAATGTTTCAGTTAACTTTACAGACGGGAAAACTGGTGCAGTGTGATCATCCCACCCTGGTGGCAACAGGGCAGCCCGATAACTCCCAACCTCTTAACTTGAAATTAGAGCATTTAAGAGCATACTACCTCAAAGCCACCCCCATAAAGAGGCGTCAATGAAGACCTTAAATGAGGGTCTAAGTGTCTGACATTATAGAAAGATTCCTGTTCCCCACACAAGATCACTAAAGAATTTAAATATCCTGAAATGGCTACATGGCAAGTTTTAATCAAGTGATGACCAGGCTGCTCTCTGAAATGAAGACAGGGCACCCAGCATACCTTTTGAAATTTCTCCATTTTCACTGAGACCCCCGCAAAGGGAGAGGGTGACGTCAGGCAAGTCCATGGCAGAATCCGAGAGGCACTCAGTGCCACTATCTGCAGCTGCACTTCCCACAGACTGTGGGGACTGGGAGCCAGACAGCGTGTCAGACTCTGGCCACTGCCTGGAGCCGGGCTCTGATTCACTGTGGGCAGGGGATGGGGAAAAAGATCTGCTTTATTGCAACTCCTTGAATTCCTAGTTTACTGTATGGTTCTCTGGGGGCTCAAACCAAATAATGCATCCCCTAAAAAGAACAGATGGACCTATAATCAGGCATAACTTTTCTTAGGTAGGGATTAGAATCATATCATAAATGACATTGAAGATAACCTAATATAGTGTTAGTGAGAAATTAAGTGTGACTATAGTAAATACGTCCCAAAATCACCAGTTATTCAGAATAATGTAAACATTTCAACTATGGTGTTTCTGATTTTAATTAAAGGAGTAAAACAGTTATAAGCATTTATTTATATTTCCATGATGAAAATGACAGGGTAATTAAGAAAATCTGATGTTCAGAAACCTTTGATCCTAACATCCTAAAAAAAGCTGTGGCACTTTATACACCCTGTAGAAAATTACTGTAGTTGAAGGCTACATTGTTTAAAAACGAAGGCTTTTCTAAGACCACTTATTATCTCACAAAGAAGGAAGCAGAAATTAAACGAGCAAAGTCTCAGGGGGCAAGACACGCCTAGAAAAAGAAATGTATTGAGAAATAAACTGAATATAACTGTTCTTCCAGGAGCCAAAGATAAGAAGACTGATACTTTCAATTTTCAAGATAAGGCACAGAAGCCAGGTTTCAGAAGTTGATCAAGGGAAACCTTATGTCATGAAGTATAAACCTGAGTGAGAACAATCACGAATGGCACGGAATCTTTTTTTTTTCTTTTTTTGATATGGAGTCTTGCTCTGTTGCCAGGCTAGAGTGCAGTGGCGCAATCTTGGTTCCCTGCAACCGCCACCTCCTAGGTTCAAGTGATTCTTCTGCCTCAGCCTCCTGAGTAGCTGGGACCACAGGCGCGTGCCACCACACCCTGTTAATTTTTGTATTTTTAGTAGAGGCAGGATTTCACCATGTTGGCCAGGATGGTCTCGATCTCTTGACCTTGTGATCTGCCCACCTTGGCCTCCCAAAGTGCTGGGATTACAGGTGTGAGCCACTGCGCCTGGCCTGGCATGGCATCTTATGTTTCATAGTCACAAATGCTACTACCCTATACCCTTTGTATAGGTATTTAATGTCACATTTGAGAGACTGAGAATTTTCAAATTCACTTATTTTATTTAAAAAGCCAGTACTTTTCATGTTTGATTTAAAAACACATGACCCAGGAGTTTATCAGCTCTTTCAAACAAATCTCATCTTTGAGCAGTAGATGGCAGCAGACTACAGATACGTCATAACTAGAAAACTGTTTCAAAAGCTGTTTCTCATTTGAATCAACAAAAAATTCAGGTTTTCAGACTTTTTTTTCTCTTAATAGCAACGCACAGTCATAGCTACAAAATTGAGATTAAGTGGACTGACAGAATGTTCTCATTAAAAACAGAAAAGCAGCAGAACTGTTGTTACACTGGGGGTGAGGGGCAAGGTCAACCCTTCTATGTTTACCATACCTGTGTCCTCTTTCTCCAGGGCACAGGGCGAGACCTCCTTGCAGTTACATGTGGCCATATGAGCCCATGACCAAGCCGTGAATGTGGACGGAAGGGGTGCATGGTGCCCTTTTCCCAGGGACCCTCTCCTATGCGATGTTCCTTCCTTTCTCTGCTGCCTGCAAGCCCTGAACCCTGAGACCCTATGGGGATGGGAGAGCCTCAAGGTGAAAGGAGCCTGTGTTCCTGAATCCCTGTGGGCAAGGCCTCTCCCCAAACACGAACATAGAATGTTCTCACAGGGGCAAGGAACAAACTTCATTGTGGCAGGCCAACAAGATGAGGAGTTCCATCACTACAGCAGCTATTGTTACCCCAACTAGTAACAACATCTACACACATGAGGATGCCATCTGACTCAGGATGCCACCAAATACCTAAATGTGTGCTTTAAAGTTTAGTTATTATTACAAACGTTGTAAATTTAGTAATGAAGAGAAGGATCATGACATGACTAATGTGTACATAGATTACAAGAGTCTCATTCACTATCTTTAAATATTTATGAAATGTCTCAAGAAATAGTTCATGAGGTAAGAAGCTTACTTAGTGCATGGACAGTTAAATTCCAGTAGAGTGAAATAAGATATCATCGCCTTAGTTATTCTCATTTTTTAAAAGAGAAATTAAGACATAAACCTAAGGAGTATCAATATAAATAAAAAATTAGGGACTGGGAAATGTGGGGAAAAAGTAACAATTCTAAGACGGCTTATATTTGAACTTTCCTACTGTTAAAAATAAAAAGACAGTTTCAGTTTTTTCACCTTAAAAAAATCCAGCTATTACTTCAAATGAAGTAGGTATGTTGAGATAAGTTTGGGGCAGAGCTAGAAAGGAGTTTTAAGAACTTTCCCAAAATACCTGTAAAAAACTTAAATATCTTTATGTCAATCCCATCTTTCTATTCTAAATTTAAAATATATATATATATTTTCAATAATTCATTTACAAGTGTTTAATTATGTGTGCCTATGGCTCAGTATATTTGAGTCATACTTTCCATAAAGAAAAGTTTTCTTTTTTTCTGGTAACCAGGGTAGTAGTAGAACAGAATTCCCCTAAGAGTAGAAATGAACTTAGGAAGGTAGTCTAAGTGTATCACATTTGAGGTTCATATATGAATTAATTCAAAGCAAAAATGGTGCGGGACAGTGAGGTAGCTGTGTGGCAGCTGGGGAGCTGCAGAGGATGTGGGCAACATGGGCAGCTGCAGCAGTGCCTCACCAGACCCAGACCCAAGTTCAGAAAAGGCTCAGGATCTCAGACTCCAAATGAGTGAAAGCATTCTTTGGAAAACATTTTCAAATAAAGATGTGTTTCTTTTAAAATGCATAATAAAACAAATGCTAAAAAATCTTCCCAAGCATGCTGAGTTTGTATTAATCACTACAGAAAATGCTAATCAGAAGTCATTATACCTTTACGTAGGTTTAACTAGCATCTCTCTCCTCACTGTATTGAAAATGTCTTCATAAGTAATTATTAATTTCAAGTCACTACACTGAAAGACCACATGCACTATTTCTGACTTTTCTAAAACCTGAAGCCAACATCAGATTTAGCTAAAGGACACCATCATCTTGTACCTTTTTCCTGAGATGAAATGTTTTACTCTAGAAATAACTAGACTATTTCAGAGCTGTCCTTCAATAAACAATGATCACTCTACCTTTTAGGGAAATAAAGAGCTGCAACCTCAGGTTCTAGAGCTTTTAAGTCATCAAGGTAAATATCATCAGGTCCCTGGTGTTGGCTTCTTTTGTGAACACCTGTTAAAAAAAAATAAATCAGAGGTTAAGAATTTAGTTATTCTTGATTTACAACTCTGCAACACACACACAGGTGTGCAAACAATAAGACTGACAAGCAGGATTTGAACAGGGTTTTAATTTTAAAGGTGTCATATACCTAAGCAAAAATGTTGGTTCTCAACCGCCCATGCCAATAGAAGAGAAGTTCAGTGCTCCATACATATACTTTGATTTTACTCATTCTGTCATTTGCTGTTAATTAATACTAGCCCCTAAATAATTTATATTTTAATGATAAAGTCATTTTTATACTTATAAGAACAAGCATGACCAATCTTAAGGCAACCACCTGCACTGGGAACAAGGGTGTTACTCTAAAAGCATGAAGGGAAGGTAGTCTGGGCACAGGATACTCACATGGTGCCCAAGTGTCCACCCTGCATTACCTCCTAACTACAAAAGGACAAAACATACTTCACAATGGATAGATGTGGCAGATAACATCTTAAAAAATAATCATGTTCAGCATTACTATTAGTGGTCGTCATGAGATACAAAATAAGTAATCTTCAATTCAAACAATAACTCTAAGTCTCTAGACTCATACTGCCTACTCTAGTGACCACATGTGGCTACTGAGCATTTAAAATGCTAAGGTGAGGTATACAAAATATGTTAAAAATGCATACACACACTACTTTAGGATACTTCATTAATAATTTTTATATTGATTACATACTAAATTATAATATTTTAGATTTATTGGCTTGGATGAAATACGTCACTGAACTTAATTTCACTTTATTTTACTTTTTTAAAAGTGGCAACGAGAAAATCCAAAATCACACATGATTCATATTCCATTTCTACTGGGAAGTATGTTCTAGACCTAACTCTCAGTTAAGAAAATATAGAAATGTCACCTTTTTTTTTTTTTTTTGAGACGGAGTTTCGCTCTTGTTACAGGCTGGAGTGCAATGGCACAATCTCGGCTCACCGCAACCTCCGCCTCCTGGGCTCAGGCAATTCTCCTGCCTCAGCCTCCTGAGTAGCTGGGATTACAGGCACGCGCCACCATGCCCAGCTAATTTTTTGTATTTTTAGTAGAGACGGGGTTTCACCATGTTGACCTGGATGGTCTCAATCTCTTGACCTTGTGATCCACCCGTCTCGGCCTCCCAAAGTGCTGGGATTACAGGCGTGAGCCACCGCGCCCGGCCCAGAAATGTCACCTTCAAAAAAAAAACAATTAGACACATCCAGAACATGAGAGAGCCTAGAAGACACTGGCTAAGCTCTTTAAAAGGTTACTATCATGGGTGTAGAATATGAGGGTATGTATGGGTCTATGAGAGAGTTCTAAAATAAAAAAGACTGATTAAAAGAAACATAAAAATCAAATGCAGTATGTGGACCTTGATGGGATTTTGGCTTGGGAAACAGGCCAGCTAAAAAAATATTCTTGGAACAATTAGGGAAATGTAAACATGAATTCTTCAATATGACAATAGTATGTGGTTATGCAGAGAATGTTCACATTCTTAGAAGGTATATCCTGACATATCTAAGAGTGAACTGTCGTGCCTGTGATTTGTTTTCAAATGTTTTATTAATAAAACACTACATGTGTGTGAGTGGAGAGATGTAGGGAAAGAGAGGTTGAGAAGAAGGGGGGTGCAAAAATGTATAATAAAAAGTGGAGGGGAAAAAAAATGAGGCCAAAAGAAGAATAGAAACCACTCAGGGTTCCTGTCTCTAGTCAGCTCCTGAACTGTGTGCTAAGAACAGGGGTCATGATTTCCAAAAACAAAGCATTCATCCTAGAAGAATTGGATTTCCCCCCCTAACATTTCTTAGAGCAGAACAAATGGCTGCGGGCCTTTGGTGGAAGAGCATGTGCCAACTTAAGTCACCATTAGCTGGATGGTTGGACCTGACCACCAACACCTTCAATAGTCACATTCTTTCATTTTAGATAAATTATTTCTGAGTGACCCTGAAGGTCAATACCTGTAGTGAATATATATTAAGTTGGTTTATAATTAACTAATTTTTGGTGCTAGAATTTTTTTTTAAACATGAAGTAGGTAATTGGCTATAAATGATGTTGGGTAATCTTAGGGAAGGTTTCACACTTTCCTAAAAATGTGATCCAAGGCCAGTGTTCAGAGTATGTGTGTTCTGACTCTTACTGCACCAAGTGTCAATGGTTGACTTTGTATTTTCAAACAGTAAGGATGTTCTGATTTATTAAATTTCTATACCAAAAGTGAGGAAGAACTGTTGAACTAAGAGTTAAATGTTTCCTCTACCTATTTTTTTTTTTTTTTTTTTTTTGAGACAGGGTCTCACTCTGTCACCCAGGTTAGAGTACAGTGGTGCAATCACAGCTCACTGTAGTCTCGACCTCCCTGGACTCAGGCCGTTAGAATAATTTTTTAAAGGTAATTTAAAAAAATTTTTTTATTATTATTTGTGTGTGTGACAGGGTCTCACTCTGTCACTCAGGCTGGAATTCAGTGGCATGATCTTGGCTCACTGCAACCTCTGCCCCCGGGGCTCAAGTGATCCATATCAGCCTCCCATGTAGCTGGGACCACAGATGAACACCACCATGCCAGACTAAGTTTTTGTATGTTTGATAGAGACAGATTTCACCATGTTGCCCAGGTTGGTCTCAAAATCCTGAGCTCAAGCAATCTGCCTGCCTCAGCTTCCCAAAGTGCTGGGATTACAGGTGTGAGCCACTGCACCTAGCCTTCTACCTATTTTTGAGGGAAATAATCAATAAAAGAGAGCACATACTCATTATTATGTATTTACTTTTATCCAATATCATTGATAAACATACATAATTTAGCCTCAACTAAGCAGATGTTTCAAGTGAAAACATATTTTCTCCAATTTTTTCAGATTCTACGTCACTTTACTGACATACCTAATCAATAAAGTGGTTAATTTTACTCATCAATTGCTTACCATTCATTCATTTATTTTCTTAATAAATGCTTCTTAAAAACCCACTGAGTAGGAACAGTCAGGAGACAGGAGTGCACAAGTCAAGCCCTGCTCCAACTGGACTTTCCAGGGGGACGCCATGGAAAGCAATCGTAAAAAGTGTGTGATGGGGCTGGGTATGGTGACTCATGCCTGTAATCCTAGCATTTTGGGAGGCCAAGGCGGGCAGATCACCTGAGGTCAGAAGTTTGAGAGCAGCCTGGCCAACATGGTGAAACCCCATCTCTACTAAAAATACAAAAATCAGCCAGGCATGGGTGGTGTGTGCCTGTAATCCCAGTAATTCAAGCAGCTGAGGTTGCAGTGAGCCAAGATCACACCATTGTACTCCAGCTTGGGTATCAAATTCGAAACTCCATCTCAAAACAAAAAAAGAAAGTGTGTGATGGGTTCTGACTGGGGAGTAAAAATATAGGGGCAGCTAACACATGTTATTTGGAACACTGAAATAATTTACCATCTAATTTGAGAGCACCTGGTGCCAAATTAAATAAATGATTACCTTTCTTCTTAGACGGCGAGTCCACTTTAGCTGCCGGTTTGCATTCTGAGAACGCCTCCGCTGAGGCTGGGTTGGAAAGGTGGTCTGCATCTAACGTAGATGAAATCTGAGGACTTTCAAGAGGAGGTTCGAGAAGCTCTGCCACAGACGTTGGGTCGCTCATCTGTGTACCCAGGGCTCTGGGTTTGGGCTTCACTATGGTACAGACAGTGTCTTCCATGGAAGCATCCTTCTCAACTTCACTTATGAGGTTGTCCTCACTGGGAATTACCCGAAAATGGGTATTTTCTGATGGTGTAATTGTAGCTATCCTAGGATGATGGTCAGATCGTTCTCTTTTGCTGACCTAAAAAAGTTAAATTGTTTAAAAATTAAACTACTTTCAGAGTATTTATTATAATCTATTTCCTAAGCTGGCAAAGGTGTTCATTCTAACTTAACACATTCATTAAAAATATTACTTTGTACATGTAAATATTCCATAATAAAGTGAGGAAAACTAATAATTGCCTTTTGTTCAATATCATGATACTTATAAAAGTTACATATAAATGTTCTGGCTGGGCACAACGGCTCATGCCCATAATCCCGGTACTTTGGGAGGCCGAGGTGGGCAGACCACTAAAGGTCAGAAGTTTGAGACCAGCCTGGCCAATAGGATGAAACCCTGTCTCTACTAAAAATACAAAAATTAGCTGGGCATGGTAGCAGGTGCCTGTACTCTCAGCTACTCAGGAGGCTGAGGCAAGATAACTGCTCAAACCCAGGAGATGGAGGTTGCAGTGAGCCAAGATGGAACTACTGCATCCCAGCCTGGGTGACAGAGGAAGACTCCATCTCAAAAAAAAAAAAAAAAAAAGGTGTATATATAAATGTTCTACTGTGAAGAGTTATACCGGAGAAGACTGAGGAAATGAACAATTTTCAGTAGTAGAGAATATTCATTTTGAGGGAGAAAACTAAATAAAGATTTAGCCCTCCTTGGACCACATCAAGGCTTTGTTAAAATAGTGTAAAAGTGGCAAGTCTAAATTCAATCACAAATATAAGCAAATGTGTATTTAAAAAAACTAAATTCAGCAGATGATCTAAACGTTTTCTCTCTCAAGAAATTTATCTTCCCAGTTCTTTCTTCTTCATTATGAGGTGGCAAAAAAAGGTTTAATAATTTCCTGTTTAAAACTTCAGTGTTGCCTAGGGATGGTAGCTCATGCCTGTAATCCCAGCACTCTAGGAGGTTGAGGCAGGAGCATTCCTTGAGCCCAGGAGTTTGAAATCAGGATAGGCTGATATAGTGAGACCCTGTCTCTACAAAAAAATTAAAACTGAAAAATTAACTGGGTGTGGTGGCACACATGTCCTGTCTCAGCTACTTGAAAGTCTGGTGTGGGACAATCACCTGAGCCCAGGAGCTTGAGGCTGAAGTGAGTTGTGGTTGTACCACTGCTCTCCAGCCTGGGTGACAGAGCAAAACCCTGCCTCCAGGAGATTAAAAATAAAAAAAAAATCAGTGTGAAAATTTTAGTTTCTTTTAAGGTGACTTTTAAAATTTCCTTATAATAATTAACAATCAACGTTATTATTCAGTAAATAGAAATATACACAAAATACTACCAAATTCCTTCAGCTGCAAATATATAGTTCAAATGTTACCAAAAATGTTAACTTTGAATTTACTTTTATGACATGAGGGTACTATCATTTACATTCATGAGAGCTCAGTCAGAAATTATCTCCTTTACTTATGAGTGAAGGGATTCTTCACTTGCCTAATCAGATACTTTCCACAGGCAAATAAACTCTAGTACCTTTGTGGACTCTGGGAATCCACCCCATGTCCACTCCATGTGAGACTCTGATCTGAGCAGGCTCTCAGCGGGTTTCACTTCCAGCTCTGAATCACTCTTAGGACACACCGCCTGGGGATAGGTGCTGCACACAGAACAAAGAAACATGATGACTTAAAAGTCAGGAAACCTTCAGTCTTGATGAACCTGACAGATTAAAAGAAACAAATTTGAATATATTGACTTTATCCTGCATATACAAAAACTCCATGAAAGAGAACATCAATTATTTCTTCCACTTGAGTTCTTTAATAATAATAAAAATGATACCAACTAGTATTTATGAGGACTTCCCAGGTCCTTTGTAAACATTGTATATTCATAATCTCATTTGCTTTTCACAAGAAATCAATCAGAAAAAAGATAATTTTGTAGGAAAGGAAAAGCAGGCAAATTAATGTAACTAACACCTGAGGATTTGACTGCAGGATAAAGTTATGACTATACTTTTTTTCACTATATTTTCAGTGACAGCCAGTAGTTGACACTGAAAGATTAGAATTTAAGAACTGTAGATGAGTGGGCAAAATGTCACGTTTGTAATCCCAGTGCTTTGGGAGGCCAAGGTGACAGATCACCTGACGCCAGGAGTTCAAGAATGGCCTGGGCAAAACAGCAAGACTCTGCCTCTACAAAAAATTTAAAAATTAGCTGAGCACAGTGGTACGTGCCTGTAGTCCCAGTTACGCAGGAGGCTGAGACGGGAGGATCGCTCGAACCGAGGAGTTTAAGGCTGCAGTGAGCTATGAGCGTGCCACTGCACTCCAGCCTGGGCAACAGAGCGAGACCTTTTCTCTACTAAAAAGAAAAAGAAAAAAAAAAGAACTGTATATAGCTAAATTCCATGCTGATTACACAGATCTACAGTTGGCCAACATTGTTAGAGTAAGTTAGATCAAATTTAGAAACAAGTCGGGCCTGGTTAGTACTTGGATGGGAGACCGCCTGGTAATACTGGGTGCTGTAGGTTTATAAAAAGAAAAAAAAATTAAAATAAATAAATAAAATTTAGAAACAAAATAAATTATTGCGAGAAAAGATTCATATTTATGTTAAAAGTAAACATTGAGTTCCTTGGCTGTGTGAAAGAAATGGGAACTATCATTACTATAGAGTAACAGAGAAGTTAATTAATATATCCTCCTTTCTCTTTCCTTTAAGAAACCAAGAAATTTCAAAGATATTTACGTCTCTAAAGGGGACCAATCTCCGTCAGATAAGGGGTAGTGATCTCCAGAATGGAAGAGCAAAGGCTCTTTATAGTCTTCTTCTTTCAAGGAAGCATTTGAAGATCCTCTGTGAAAGGAGAAACCAAAGAAAGGCAGGAACAATGACATTCTTGTCAGCTTTAAAAGACTCCCAAACCTACTGACACTGCACAAACAATAAAAATGAAGAGGGGCAAATGATTACTCACTCTCTTTAAAAAATATGAAAGAGAAGGGGGATATACCAATGTCACTCACTATGAAACACCACAATCGCTATTCACATGTGTAATAAATAGGGGGGAGGACAGAAGAAAAAATGTGATTAAAATGTCCGTTTTCCATCCCTTAGGGGTGATTCAAAGGCTAAAAGAAAATTAAGGCTTTATGTCTATTTCATTCAGTCCTTATAAAATGAGGTAATATTCCATTGTAGGTATTAAGTAATCAAGGATCCAGAGAAATTTAGTAATTTGCTTAAAAAGTAAAAAAGTTAGTAAGTAGTTGGATTCAAAACAGGCCCTTATTCTTTCTACTGCTCTCCCCTTTCTACTGAATAAATTCAAAAATGTATGAATATTAGCTGAAGACAAACAAGATCTATGGCTCAAAAGTTTAAAAATACTCCAACCTCTCAAAACCTCAGGACTAATTTTCTTCTTTGTTTGGCCCCAAGGATTATCTGAGAACATTTTCTTTATTTGGAATCTACATGATGCAGAGATGTGAGAAAGATTATACAAAAATGACAAATGCTTTTAATATCCACACACGAACCCTGGGTAGGGGGTTGCACTAATGCTAATAAGGTTTTAATTAATTTACCAATTGGTTTCTTAAATGTGCAGAGTTACTATAACTAACTTGCGTATCATATAACCTTGAGAACATCCCTCAGAATCACTGTGGGCCGCCATTTTCATCTTTAGTTGGAAACTTATCACTTATCCTGTCTACTTCAGAGTCAATGTGAGATTTATGTGGTGCAGCATGTTGAAATCTCTGAAAAAGTAAAAAGTACAAAAGAAAAAAAAAAACTCTGTAAAGCATAAAGTGCCACATTATACAAGTTTAAAGGTTTCTTACAGAAAATTCAATATTCTAATAGAACAGATAGTAAATGTAAATGAGAATATCCGTATCACTTAGTTTGCTGAACTAAAAACAGAGACAGAAAACCAGATTATTTTTTAACATTACTTTTCTTCCTTTAACATACTCTTATTTACCACTAACTCTGACATGTAGTAGTTTTTCAACAAACTTCATCTTTTAATTTAAGGTTTTCCTAACTCTGATCTTCTCTTCTCCAGGGCCCTACTCTGGCACACCACTCATTCAAGGCAAGAAAACATATGTCTGAGAAAGACATCTTAAAAAAAAGTATTTCTCAATAAACGAATATCAAAAGGCAAATTTCCCCTTGAGAAAGGGAAAATCAGAGTTTGTGAATGGTCCTTATTTGCCCAATCTGAAAGGACCCATCACTATCCGTATGTGAAAGTAGCTGAAAAGAACAATGTAAAAGCCGCACACATTTCAAACTAAAATTTTTACATTACAAATATTTTACTTTTGGAACATGTTTCACTGCAGTATAAAAGGAAAGCCAAGAAAAATTCAGCAGAGCAAACAGGATTTAGTAAAACATTGAAAGCTCAATCAGGTACCACCTGAATTCACAGCCCCAGGAAGACATGAGATGGTCTTTTTTGGTCACATCCTGACAAAAATACAGCCCATCAGTCTAGGCCCACTACAGTGACAGAAAAGGTTTCTTATTGTTGAGATCACTTTCAGTCCTAAGATTCCTTTATTACAACAGGAATTCTAAAAACCCATTAGGAACTTTCAAAATGAAACTTATGCCTTAGAACAGGGACCAGCAAGGCAAACCATAACAAAGTGACAAACCAAGCTCAAGACACGAGGATATAGTGAAGTGTACATAGTAGAATGTGAAGAAAACAGCACAAGCACTGATTCTGTTTGTAAACGTAGGAGTGCTAATACATCAGAACTGAGCAAAATAAGTAAACAGTGACTTTCAGTCAGGGCTGGGGGCTCAGAGGTTGAGGTTTACAGCCAGCATGGACAGAGCACCCCAGACCTCACAGATGTGCTACAACGTCACATCTTCAAATTCTGCATCATTTTCTAAGCCTAACAATTATCCAATTCAAAAGCTAATAGAGGTTACAGGAATGTATATGACTGCCAAAATGCACAGAATTGCATACTTAGATCTGTGAATATTGCTCCACATAAATTAGACCTCAATTTTTTTAAAGTGAGGAAAAAAATCAATTGAATGCTAAAATAAATAGCCTGAATTATTTATGTGGGATAAATTATAGGTGCAACATGAATTTTAAACTATTTAATTGGTAGTATGTAAGAGATAAATGGGGTTGCTAACCCCCATGGCCAAAGATCACTAACTCTGTTAACAATGTCTATTGGCAACCTTAGCACAGTACTAGTCAATGAATTTCAGTGTGGCTAAGGATCTCAGTTGGCATTTGGATATAGAGCATTCATAAAACAAATGGGGCCCTGCAATGCTTCTCTCTGTGTTATGTGTCAGAAATGAAGGAGAGAAAAGAAAGGGAGCATCTCTAAGATCCATGTCACCCTGAGTATCTGCATTTACCCTAAAAGAACATGGAGGGTTCTCTAGAAGCCAGTTACTGATCAGCAGATGAAGCATGCAGATCATCAGAGCAGTAGATGCTATCTGTGAAAAGTTTTAGGCTCCCCAGATTTGGCTCCCACATACCACTTTTTAAGTCGGTCTGCTTTAGTGGATTAAAAGTTGAGATTCTTTTCTGATGGTTTGATCTTGAGCCTCCATTTTTGCTATTGCTGGGTATTTCAAATATTTCCATCAGTGGCATGTTTTATATATTTGCACTCAAGATTATGCTAGAACACCATCCAATTATCATAGTCTCTTCCCTCCAAAAGGCTACATATGCTGAGGTATAATGTTTTTAATCTCTCTCTCACACCCACAGACATACATCCATCCTCTGGAAGAACAAACAAAGCTTCCATGTCATATTTAAGCCCAAAGCCCACTTCAGAAGGGGAGGGAGACTCACTAGGTACAGTTCAAAGTCCTGTATGGTTTAAAGCTCTCCAATTTTCAGAAACAAGTTTCTTCCAGCTGTGCCATAACAATCTGCTTTGAAGAATGATTACCTCTTTCATCTGCCTCCTTCAAGGAGCCTCAATTAACCTTAATTCTGTTATCAATAAAATTCTTGAAAAGTAAAGACTTTAAATGTAATGCCATTTGTCAAAACAAAAGAAAAACCGATTTTATGTATTTATCTTCTCTGGAAAAATAATTTCTTTTCTAAGTGGTAGGGTCTGAGGAGATTATGCTATAGGAAAGCTGCAAATTCCGCAACACCACCATAATTCCTAGCTCTCACAACTGCAAAAGCAACTGACTTCCTATTCTTTTTCTCTTAGATTTTGAATATGTTGTTTCATATGTTGTAATGACCATACACAGCTTCCCTCAAATAATGTTAGAGTCTAGATGCTGAGCTGCAAGGGGCCTTGTAAAGCCCCTTCGGTTATCTCACTTTACAGATTAAGAAACCAACACCCTGGGTAATGAAGAGGTTACTGTTCTACAATCTATAATGGGCCCAGTCTGTCTACCTTTTTAGCTCAGTGCTTATTTCAGAATACAACCTGAATTTTCACAAATGTTTACATTTTGTTTAAGTCCTAATTTCTGTCGGCTGTATTATTTAAGCAGATTCTATTTTAAGGAAATTTCAGGGGAAGAGCTGCTCCAGGTGGCAGCATCTATTATTCAATGGTAACACCTAAAGAAAAAGCAAACCATCAAGCATCTGAAAATGTCTGCAAGGCCCTAGCTTACATGTGTTGTGACATGCTTGCTTACCAAGCCAGCAGGATGCTGGTTAAGAGATAGGCTGGCAGCCATTTGTATCTGTCAACCAAGTGAGTACATAAACAGATTTGGTGGATACAGCCTTTCACACCATCTGGAAAAGCAAGGTATGTACTAGTACTTCTGCAATGCATTGGATTACATTCATTCACAAAGTCCTTTGGAATAATGATTCTTGTAAAACTTAGTAGGGAACTTGGCATATGTTTTAGAAATTTAACTTCCCAAGCTGCAGTTGTTCAGAAATTCTAAACTTTGCTCTATTCTGTTTAACGAAGGACACAGGTCAACAAAGCTTTAAGGCAAAAAGCATTACTTCAATGCTCTTTTCGGTAGATCTTGAAAGGATTTTAGTTGGTAAAAATATTTTCAGGAACAAAGCACTTCTGGGAGCATTACAAGGCTAATCCTAATAAAACCTAAGATATGTAAGTATTTCAAGTTTTTCTCAAAAGAATACATGTTTCTTGCCCACCTACACATTTTACTATATATAAGACAAAACTTTTAAAGGAATTGATATATATATTTTTTTGAGAGGGAGTCTCGCTCTGTCAACCAGACTTGAGGGCAGTAGTATGATCTCGGCTCACTGTAACCTTTAACTCCTGGGTTTGAGCGATTCTCCTGACTCACCCTCCTGAATAACTAGCCCGCCACCACACCTGGCTAATTTTTGTATTTTTAGTAGAGATAGGGTTTCACCATGTTGGCCACGCTGGTCTTGAACTCCTGACTTCGGATGATTCGCTCACCTCGGCCTCCCAAAGTGGTAGGATTACACTTTGGTGGTGGGTGAGCCATACTCCTGTATATTTTAAGTCATCTCTAGATTACTTCTAATTCCTTGTGTAATGTAAATGCTGTATTTATTTTTAGTAGAGATGGGAGTTTCGCCATGTTGGCCAAGCTGATCTGGAACTCCTGACCTCAGGTGATCTGCCTTCCTTGGCCTCCCAAAGTCCTGGGATTACAGGCATGAGCCACCATACCCAGCCTGTTTATAATGTTTTAATATTCCTGAAATCAAGCAGTAGAAAAGTAAAAAGTCTCACCATTTATTTCCCTAGGGAAGAGAAGGACAAATAACCTTTAAGACACTGAAAGAAGAAAAAGGGCAGGAAGAGTCTCTTTTAAAGAAATTCTGTTTTTTTTTATCAGCTTAAATTTCTTTGGGAATCAATGAAAGTAGAGTTCAGAACATTGATAACAAAACTCTTTCCAGCTAGTATTTTGACACTGACAAAAAAAATTACCCAAATTTACTGATTCAGGATTTTAAAATTTTGTAAATATAATGTATCTGGTTTGTAGAGTTTAACACACTTTTCTACTATTGCTTCTAATCCTTTGTTGTTTAGTTTTATTGGAGGAATTCTGCATTCTATCGGAACTAAAATAAAAGTGTAATATATTCAGTGTGGGAGGAGTAAGAGAGAACACCACAGACATGACAGCTAGTCAGCAATGAAACAAAGTAGAAAAAAATTTCAGGTATTAAAAATGGCTGTTACTTATAATATCAAATTCTAAAAAATTACTTCAGACATAGACATTTTGTTCTAAGACTTAAACTCTAGATTTCAAAATTTTAGAAAATGAATTGTTTTGCAAAAAAGGGATTATATTGTTATTCATTAATGCAGTATAATCATAATATACTAATACTATATTAATTAACATTTTTTGCTGGGCTCAGTGGCTCATGCCTGTAATCTCAGCACTTTGGGAGACTTAGGTGGGAGGGTTGCTTGAGGCCAGAAATTTGAGACCAACCTGGGCAACACAGCAAGACCCCAACTCTACAGAAAAATTTTAAAACCTGGCTGGGTGTGATGGCAAGCACCTATGAGGTGGAAGGACTGCTTGAGCTCAGAAGTTCAAGGTTACAGTAAACTATGATCGGACCACTTCACTCCAGTCTGAGCAACAAAGGGAGTCTCAATTAAAAAACAACACATTTTTTCTCTCCGATTTGACTACTTAAAACAAAAGACTGGCAAATAAAACACATACTAGATTGAGGTAGAGTTTACTCTTGATATATATTTGGTTTCTATTACTAGAAAAAAATTATTTCCCTCTATTCTAGGACGAAAAACACTTAAACAGCACTGTTTTCCAGGAAGTAGGGCATGACCTCTTTTCAGCAGATGGAGTGAAAACACACAAGTGGACCAGAAGTTCTCTCCACAAATAAAGGGTCTGGAAATACAGGGCCACTAGTGGGCAGCAGCTTCTTTTCTGGTGGCCAAGGAAGAGAATTCCCCACCAACACATGGGTGCCAAGGTGCCAAGGTGACCACTGAGGAACAGGTGGAAGAAAATGGAATCTTGAATGAGAAAATGTATTCTACTCCCAACTGTTACCTTTCAACCCCAGACAGTGCTGATATGAAAATGGCATATAATAAGCTCCTCTACAGAGCAGATAAAAAGTGGCAATCAAGATATCTCACTTAAAAAAATTAAAACGCCTTCCTCTTTAATTCTAGTAAAACAAAACTCAACTCCTCAGGAAAAAGATACCAAGCCTTAGGCTACTTGGGTAGGGAAATCTCAGAGATGACATTGTGCCCAACTGTATCTGCTCACCCAGGGGCAGTCACTAATTCAGATCTTTTGACTTAGAACTTATTTGGATCCTGGAAACTTCTCATATGAAAAGATACACACAACCAGTCTGCTACAAATGATATTTCAGTAGCACAGCAGAATGTCTAATGGCAAATTTTGTAGAAGAGCTGAAAGAAATAAAGAAACTGCCTTTGCAGCTCAATTCCACTGTATATCCACTAAAAAAAATGGCAGCTCCTGGCTTAACATGAACTCTATCTACAGTGGTACACTGGACAGCATGGTACCGGCACAAGACCCTACCCAGGCTGAGAGCCCTACCGTGCTGCCTGGGCCCCCTTGTCATCATCAGAGCTCACGCCTACATCACATATGTCTTCTGCAGCAGGAGAGGTGGCCTGCTCTTCCTTCTTACTGTCTTGTTTGCATTTCTTTCTCCTTCGTTTTTTCTTTTTCACAGAACTTGAAGTAAAAACTGTCTCTGTTTCCAAGACATGTGAGATGTCCGAACTCTGAGATGGTCTTTCGTCTCCACCCGATTTCACCAAAGGGGTGTCAATATCTTTAAAGAACTGATCTTCGGTAGGAATTGGTGAAGTGGCAAGGTAGGCAGGAAGCTTTTCCTTAAGGAGAATGGAGAAAGAAAAGTTATCCAAGACAAACTAGACAGTGAATTAAGGCAATAATATTTTGAATATAAAAATTTTCACATTGGTAGAAAAAATACATATTCCCTAAAGTCAAGAAACTCCCACTGAACTAAGGCACTCTCTACTGTTCTCTGAGGAGGTCTTTCCCCAGTGAGGCAGCTAGGTGCTAGCCCACTTGGGTACAACATGTAACCGAGTACATCTGAAGGAACTGATATGCCAAGTCAGCATGGAACACCTGAAAGCCATAATTAAAGTTGAGCCAATTAAATTTTTCACAAAGCAAAGATCAAAGCAGCAGTAACCATCTAAGAAGGTGTTACAAACGACTGTCAAGAACTCACACAGAACGTTCAGAAAAGGACAAAGCAGAAGGCAGCGATTAAGGACACTGTGTCAGATAAAGGGCAGCAGGTCAGATGAGTGACATGAGGAACTACAGTGATGCAGAGTGGTCAATGCTTATGTTTTGCCGAATTAATTGAGGGTGGAGAAGGGCAATTAGAGACAATATCCTCTAACAAACGATGTTAGTAAAATTTTAAACCGTAAAGCACTTAGGTTTTAAAAAGAAATACTCCTTCCTCTAGGAATTCAAAAGAAGAAAATAAGGCCCAATATTTAGAAGCAGTCAAACTCCTATTTAATACTAAATAAACAATCAAATCTGATGTTCAGTAAATTCATGTCTTAGCCATTTGTTTCACTCCTTTGTATCATCAGAAGAAATGGTAGATATATAATAGAGATAAAAATTAACCTCATATAATTTAAAATACTCAAGCTTTTATAACAATAGTTCTGAAAATGTATGGGTTTCTGTAATTGTTTTTTATTAAGCTTTTGAACTTAGCTTTGATAAACATATTACCCTGAAGCTAAAGTCTGATTTACCTAGAAGAAATTTGTGTTCATCAGCAACACACACTTATAAAGAAACTGTAATAAGATATTCTGAATGCCCACAAGAAACCCAGATGAGAGGTTATGGTCTCTGACTTTGAGGATTTTTAATTCAATGATTTTTATTTTACTTACTGAAAGCTGTTTTTGTTTTTGGTGGTAATTCTTAGTTCTATTATAGCAGTGCTTATGGGATGAAAATAACCTATAAACTATGGTATGTTCATACTATGGAATAATGTGCAGCTACTAAAAGCATAAAGTTAGGTTTAGAAATAGACTTGAAAGGAATGTTGATGACATAATTAAATGAGAAAAGTTTAAGGGACAAAAAGCAAATAAAAGGCAACGAACTGGGTTTTTGGTCAATTTTTATCCTACCCTACATCACGAATCCCTAGAGAAACGGGAGCATGTTGTATTCATAGCATGCGGCATGGAGTAGTAATTCCAACATTTGTTGGATACATTAACAATTTTTAATTTTAAAGAGAAGCATACTACACAAGACATATGCAAATTTGGTAACACATGGGATAGGGAAAAAAAAGGCCAAAAAGCTGACATTCTCCAAGTTGTCCTTGCTAAGCATAGTTTTTGGTGTAACTGTCAGAATAAGCCATGAAAACTAGGTAACTACCAACAACCCAGCCCTCTTACTGTGCCTGCTGATTGAGAAGTTCAGTCAGTGTTAGAGATTATAAATAATTTTAAGAAATATATAAAAAGTGTTTTATTTTTGTGACAGATGTCATTTATTACGTTTCATTGTGCTCTTTGCCTCAGTCTCTGATAAGGAAAAATGTTGCTTAAGCCAAGTAAATGCAAATGAGGTATTATAAAGACAAGCAATTAAACCAGAAAAAGCACCAGTCTGATAAAGCTTCCCCTTCATAAACCATAGTGTTTCAATGCTGCTTTACATACTGATAGGTACCCTAAGTTGTTGGTTTCTCAATCAAAAAATGATAAACAATCTTATTTTGCTATTATGTTGGGTTTTTTTTGTAAAAATTTTCTTTGTAAATTATATCAAACTGTAACTTCATCTTCGAAGCCAAAAAAGTAGTCCTGTATCCTTAATAACTTGATACTCATCAGTTTTGGCAGTTGAGGTTTTATTCTTTATGAAGAAGCACGTACTTATGCTTTTAAAGGAATTTTTAAAAAGATGCACGTTATCTGACTGAATTCTTTAGTAGGCATGTAAAATCTATCATTAATAAATACATAAAAAGATCCACATTGAATCCATAAAGAACAGTTAACCCCCATTCAAATCAGTAGATACAGAATGTGTGTGGTGGGGAGGGGAGATCATAAATCATGCTCGCTTACTAAAAGAAGTCAAACATGTAATCACTTATAAAAGGATATAATTTATCCAATTAATTTTTTTTGTCCAATTAATTTAACTCTCGAGATCATAATAAATTAATTCACATGACATTTCAAGGTTAGGGATGTAATATTCCTTCCAAAATATTAAATATGATTCCCAGTCGAAAGGTCACACGTGCATAAACAGAGAGCCAGAAGAGAAATGCCTTAATTACTCAGGCAGAACTGAATGTATTCAAGTCAAGATACAAACTGGAAGCGACACTAAGAAAGCTCACTAAACTTAGAAAGTGGTATGCCTTCCCTCACAAAAAGCCCAAGTACGTGCATTCAGCACACTCCCTGCACCCTGAAACTTTGTATGGAGAAAAGTTCTTAATTCCTTCAGCTCCTTTTTGACAGCTTAGTCCTTCAACATGAAACTAAAGCTTGTCTAGCCAGCAACAGTTCTGTGTACAATCAACTGCAAAAAACTGCTATTGGGGCCAGGTACAGTGGCTTATGCCTGCAATCCCGGCACTCTGGGAGGCTGAGGTGGGTGGATCACCTGAGGTTGGGAGTTTAACACCAGTCTGACCAACATGAAAAAATCCCGTCTCTACTAAAATTACAAAAATCAGCCAGACATGGTGGTATATGCCTGTAACCCCAGTTACTTGGGAGGCTGAGGCAGGAGAATTGCTTGAACCTGAGAGGCAGAGGTTGTGGTGAGCTGAGATCACACCATTGCACTCCAGCCTGGGCAACAAAGAGCGAAATTCTGTCTCAAAAAAACAAAACAAAAAAAACCCGCTATTGGGCCATGTACCAGAGGCCTGAGCACCTCGTGTAAGAGGTTGCAAACTACGCAAACTTACATATTCTTCTTCAGTCTCCTCAACAAAGAAAGCTTCTCCATTGTCACCCAACTTCATGTGAAGATCCACTGCACTGCCGTTGATTTCTATATCAATCTATGGGAGAAACAAAGTATGACTTAATGTTCAAGGAATCTTTCCTTCAAGTTAAACTAAACCCAAATTCTGAGTTCTCAAGCCAAACTTTGTATAGTATTGAGGTTTGTAGAACTAAAGCCTTTGAGAATCACTGCTACTTGCCCCTAACCCACACCTAAGAAGCCAAATAGAGCTGGGTAGAGGGAGAGATGGATAACTAGGGATTAAAAGGAAATGTTTCACCATCTATTTGTACGACATATAAAAATTTTAAAAACATTTTTTCAAATGTAAAATGGGAGAAATATCAGTCAAACATCTGCACACTTTCCAAGTTATGACACAGTCAGGCTTCACCTCACACGATTCAGATACACACAGGTTTCAGGAACCTCAGTATGTGAGCTGTGAGCAACTGCAACAAAAGTCCAACTTCACTGCCAGCTCTTCTGCCCACAATCACTATGTCAGTAACAGGTGACAATCAGTTCTGTGACTGGTCACTGATGATGATGGTCACATTTTCCCAGGAACCAGGTGAAACAATGAGATAAGTTAACATGTTAAATAAAATTTGAGATGCGTTAGGCCGTTTTTGTGTTGCTATAAAGAAATACCCGGCCAGGCGTGGTGGCTCAAGCCTGTAATCCCAGCACTTTGGGAGGCCGAGGCGGGTGGATCACGAGATCGAGAGATCGAGACCAACCTGGTCAACATGGTGAAACCCCATCTCTACTAAAAATACAAAAAATTAGCTGGGCATGGTGGCGCATGCCTGTAATCCCAGCTACTCAGGAGGCTGAGGCAGAAGAATTGCCTGAACCCAGGAGGCGGAGGTTGCGGTGAGCCGAGAATGCGCCATCGCACTCCAGCCTGGGTAACAAGAGCGAAACTCCGTCTCAAAAAAAAAAAGAAATACCCAAGGCTGGGCAATTTACAAAGAAGAGAGGTTTAACTGGCTCACGGTTCTGCAGCTGTGCAACCATGGCACTGGCATCTGCTTGGTTTCTGGGAAGGCCTCAGAGGAATCAGTGTGATATGTGATACATGTTTACTCAAGGCGAAAGGCAAAGGGGGTAAGGACACGTCACATAATGAGAGCAGGAGCAAGAGATGGGGAGTGCCACACACTTTTAAACAATTGGATCTCGTTAACTCAGCTGAAACTCATTCATCCCCTAGTAAATGGCACTAAGCTATCCATGAAGGATCTGCCCCCTTGATCCAAACACCTCCCACCAGGTTCACCTGCAACACTGGAGTTCACATTTCAATATTACACTTGTAGGGGACATCCAAACCATATCAATATATTTTGTCAAAATGCTTTTTTATAAAACTCCTATGTATGGGCTGGGCACAGTGGCTCATGCCTGTAATCCCACCACTTTGGGAGGCAGAGGCAGGCAGATCACCTGAGGTCAGGAGTTCAAGACCAACCTGACCAATATGGTGAAACCCCATCTCTACTAAAAATACAAAATTAGCCAGGTGTGGTGGTACATTCCTGTAGTCCCAGCTACTTGGTACCCTGAGGCAGGAGAATAACTTGAACCCAGGAGGCAGAGATTGCAGTGAGTCAAAATCATGTCATTGTACTCTAGCCTGGGCAACAAAACCCAAATGCCATCTCAAAAAAAAAAAAAAAAACCTCCTATATACAAATAACATAATCACACTGCAGGGGGTGAGGAAGAGTGAAACTAACGTAAGTCACCTTGGAAAACAGTATTTTGACTTGTATTTTAAGTCTAAAGACATTTTTTTTGTTGCTTTGAGACAGAGTCTTGCTTTGTCTCCCAGGCTGCAGTGCAGTGACGCGATCTGGGCTCACTGCTACCTCTGCCGCTTGTGTCAAGTGATTCTCCTGACTCAGCCTCTCGAGTAGCTGGAATTACAGGTGCCTGCCACCACACTCAGCTACTTTTTGTAGTTTTAGTAGAGACTGATGTTTCGTCATCTTGGCCAGGCTGGTCTTGAACTCCTGACCTCGTGATTCACCCGACTCGGCCTCCCAAAGTGCTGGCATGACAGGCATGAGCCACTGCGCCTGGCCAAAAGATGTTTTTTACATGTTACTCTAAAAAGGTATTGTACAGTAGTTAGTACATTCACAGAGATTTGAGTTAGCAATTCTGAAACTATTTTGTGTTTCCTAGAATTGAGTAACTAGATATATTGATAATAAGATACATGTTTCCCATTGAAAATGAAAAAAGTTATAAATAAGGAGGGGAAAAAAGCCTGCAACAGTGAATGGGAACTGGAGGTACCTGTGTGCACTCATGATTTTTATATATAGATGTAGATGTGCATGTGTATGTGTCTGCACACACATCCACTCATTTCCTAGCTCTGCCAGCTCAGGCTGCCTAGAAGCAGTGATACCTCAGGAGTAATGAGCACACCTAATAACCAGATGTTTGTTTGTAAATACTATGCTTCAATAAAAGGAACCAGAGTAAAATAATTAATTCCACGGGTGAGGCAGGGAAAGTAGCTTCTTCTGGAGCATGAAAGGAAGGAGGGGTTCAAAAACTGATGGGAGCATTTCAAAGGAACTCAACTTGTAGGAACTATAATAACAGTCAAACTGGGACAATATGAGCAACTAATTTCATTTTTGGAGGCTATCCATTTAACCAGTGTAGCTGGAAAAATAGAAAAATGCTTCTTTATCATGCAAATTCAGACTCTAAATTATTCATACGCCATCTCAAAAAAATTAACACTTCATGGCCCTTACTTTTAGAGATCAAGTATGACATTTCTCAATATTACTTACTTCATTCTCTTCATTTGACTTTAAATGGAGTTTGATCTTTCCAAAAATTAAATATAACATCAAATTATGCCAATATTCGCAATACTTAAAAGAAGATGTTGTGAGCTCTTTAGGCAACAACAACAAAAAGATTTTTTAAATATTTTGAGAGACAGTTACCAAGTTGGAACAAATTCTTCCTACTAAGGTGATTATCTTAAAAAGGATACTCATTTTGATGTATTAAATGCTAGTAAAACGGTTTTAAAAATAACCCCTCACTTCCATATAGTCTTACTTCCTACACTGTGGCTTAATTGTGCTGAACATAATATAACCAAGATGCTGAAATGAAACTGGTATCTCTCAGGAATAGTCGATATAGGAGACATCTGAACTGGCTTACGACTCTTTGGGTAAGAATATCTCAAATGTATTTTGGGAATCTATTCATCCTGTTTCAATTCATATACAAGTTGGGTGTCTTAAATCCAAAAATCTGAAATCCAAAATGCTAAAAAATCTGAAACTTCTTGAGCACTGACATGACACTCAAAGGCGATGCTCACTGGAACACTTCAGATATTGGATTTTCAGATTTGGGATGCTCAACCAGTTAAGTATAATGTAAATATTACAAAAAATGAAAAGGTTGAAATCCAAAATGATCTGGTCCCAAGCATTTCAGATAAGGAATACTCAACCTGTACTTCTGGTGTGGCTTTAGGAAGAAGAAGTGGGCTGCTGTCTATGTCAATAAATATATCCCATTCTCAGCTACAGAAACTGGTCGCAGGTATATATCTGTTCCTTTAACAGAAAGGCTAAATACTGATACTTCTATGGGAAGGTCTCTCTTCACAGGGGTTAACAGATTGTGAACCTGGAGGTATTGGTGGCCATCTTACCACCAAGTGAGAGAAACGTAAGTGGAAGCAGAGCTGAGAGGTCGGGAAAGAGAAATTCTGACATCAAGCTTTTTTGCCTAAGCTACCAGAGGGTGAATTTCTGTTATCAGCAATGAAAATAGTTTTAATACACTGGATTATTTAACTTTCATGAAAAATCTGGCCAGGTGTGGTGGTTCACACCTGTAATCCCAGCACTTTGAGGGGCCAAGGCAGGTGGATCACCTGAGATCAGGAGTTCAAGACCATCCTGGCCAACATGGAGAAACCCCATCTCTACTAAAAATACAAAAATTAGTCAGGCATGGTAGTGTGCACCTGTAATCCCAGCTACTCAGGAGACTGAGGCAGAAGAATTGCTTGAAATCAGGAAGGCGGAGGTTGCCCCACTGCACTCCAGCTTAGGCAACAAAGTGAGACTCCATCTCAAAAAAGACTTTTATAAATAATCAGTTTTCTGATATCAACAAAAATACATTTAAAAATATCAAGTACATGGTTACCTTCTAAAATTAACCTCCTAAGTTATTAAATTTATTGGGAGTACTGCTGTTCTATCAAACAATTATATATTGATGGCAGTGGGAAAAGCACTATACTATATCACTCTAAACAGTGTTTTTTAGGTGGTCATGAGTTCAAGTTCACTTCATAGGTAACCCTGTATTTGAAAATTTGGGGTCTTTCAAATCAATGGCCAGCTTTCCCAAACCCGAACTGACTTAAAATAAGACAAACAGTTAATGCAAATTGCCAGCCTATCTCAAAATAGGCATGATTTCAGTTTTACTCTCACAGGAAAGCTGTTTTGGTAAATCAAATGGCCAAATTTCCTCCCAAACCTATTCTTTGAGCTTGAGATACTAAGGGAGTAGGGGGAAAAATTCTCTTTTCCTATGTCTCATGGGAACAATCCTATTAAAAATGCAATGTTTTGGCTGATCGCAGTGGCTCACGCCTGTAATCCCAGCACTTTGGGAGGCCGAAGTGGGTGGATCACAAGGTCAGGAGATCAAGACCATTCTGTCCAACATGGTGAAACCCCTTCTCTACTAAAAATACAAAAAAAATTAGCTGGGTGTGGTGGTGCACACCTGTAGTCCCAGCTACTCAGGAGGCTGATGCAGAAGAATTGCTTGAACCCAGAGGTGGAGATTATAGTGAGCCAAGATGGCGCCACTGCACTACAGCCTGGGTGACAGTGCGAGACTCTGTCTCAAAAATAAAGAAAGCAACATTTGGACAAGATAGTAACACAACAAATTGTGTAGCTTTTGTAGAGGAATTGTATTATTTCCTAAATTAGAGGCACACAGCATGTCGGAAAAGGTGTTTTATCTATTTGATCACCATTTACAGATGCACAAATGCTTATATATATTCATCTGCCTGCAGGTTCCATTTTGAAAGGCCAGACACAGATCCAATGTGATAAAAAAAAAATCCAAAATCCCAGCCAAAAAAATAATGATAATGATGCCTTATCAGCAGTTTTAGATCGATACACAACTAATAGGAAATTTCAGTTTGTTGCCAATTCCCCTAGAACAGATCCAGTCTGAAAGTACTATTGGTATTGCTGCAAAGAAAGAAAAAATTCCAGACCAGGCGCGGTGGCTCACACCTGTAATCCCAGCACTTTGGGTGGCTGAGGCGGGCAGATCACCTTAGGTCAGGAGTTCAAGACCAGCCTGACCAACATGGAGAAACTCCGTTTCTACTAAAAATACAAAAGTAGCTGGGCATGGTGGCGCATGCCTGTAATCCCAGCTACTGGGGAGGCTGAAGCAGGAAAATCGCTTGAACCCAGGAGGCGGAGGTTGCCATGAGCCGAGATCATGCCACTGCACTCCAGCCTAGGCAATAAGAGTGAAACTCTGTCTCAAAAAACAAAAACTCCAGAGAAGCTAAACTGTGGCTAAATAACACTGTTTTGCAATAGAAAGTTTCTATCCCTAAGTAAACTGCAACTGCTTTTGCTTTCTAATGGGTGACTCTGAACTGGGACCAGACCACACAAGCTCTGCTACTCTGAAATGTGGTTCTCCAATGGAAACTGATTTTGTAACACCTAGAAATGAGATGTTTTTCCTAGAGAAATAGAAGAAAAAGAATATCTAGTTTTGTGAAATTCATTTTATTTCACTCTCAAAATAACATTAAGTTTAACTAAATAGAGGAAAATTTGTATTTATCAGCTATATAAAATAGCAAAAAGTTGAAAATAAATGTTTTCAACTTACACCAGTGGTCCTCTACCACGTAATTTAAGGTCTGTGCCAGAAAATGGTGAGGATCTTTTGCTGTGCTTTAAAATGCTGACAAAGCCTTTCTATTATTTAAGTAGATATTGCAGGGTAAGAGTAGAAACAGAAATCTTACTATGAACCTGCAAAGTTTTACTACTAGTTCTGTTTTCTAATGTTATTGACATCTGATATACTAGCAAAACTTCCAGCTGCTCCATAACCTGAAGAGGTTATAACAAAAAGAAAAACCTACACAAATATCTTCTTCCTGAATGAATCTTCCCTAAAACAAATGAAACTCAACCAGCCTATGGTCTGTTGGTTAGCATTTCAGTCAAATTTGGAGACAAGTCCTGATACCAACAACAGAATTTAGATTACAAAAGCTTTTACAGCTTTGTCAAAACAAACAAAATGTGGCATTAATTACTTTCCTTTTAAAAAAATATGGCCAGGTGTGGTGGCTCAATGTCTGTAATCCCAGAACTTTGGGATGCCAATGTGGGTAGATCACTTGAAATCAGGAGTTCAAGACCAGCCCAGCCAATATGGTGAAACCCCATCTCTACTAAAATTTAAAAAATTAGCTAGGTGTGGTGGCGCATGCTTGTAATCCTAGGTACTTGGGAGGCTGAGGCAGGAGAACTGCTTGAACCTGGGAGGATGCAATGAGCTAAGATTATACCACTGTACTCCAGCCTGGGTGAGAGAGAGAGAGAGAGAGAGAGAGAGAGAGAGAGAGAGAGAGTGTGTGTGTGTGTGTTGTGTGCGTGTGTTTTTCTTGATTCCGCCAACCTATTCCATGTACAATTAGTATGAAGGTATTAACCTAAGTACTTTAAATACTTAGGTTAATAAGTATTTATTAATTAGGTTATTTTAAATACTATATAAGGTAAAGAAAATTTTTCTTTTTCTAAATATGCCTAAGTTCCCCCATCTAGTTTCTGTTTTGCTTTTCTGAGTTGCAACATGTAAGATTATAATAATTTTCAGTTTCCCTTTCCCTTGAAACTTCCTGCAGTGGAGCTCTGTGGTTTTAAAAGCAACTTCAAAAGCAATACATAAAGGTTGACTTCTCGTAACATTGTCTTCAACATCATTCAGGTTAAAAAAAAAAAAAAGGCCCAGAAAGCTCACAATAGAGATTTATTCATCAAGGATGACTTTTCCTCTCTTTGAGGACAGGCTATGCACTACACTCACCACTTTCTCTTTGGATCTCAGGACTCCCAGCTTCCCAAACCGAACGTGAAAAGGCGAACACTGATAGCTGCCATCCTGCTGCTGCACCACGATGACATCGATGCACCCAGAGAGGGTGGCCTGGTTAATGCCCTTGTAGAGTTCCTTCACAGTGACAATCACCTGCCCAGCCAGCTGTCCCACATAATTCATGGTTTGAGACTACAAGAAACAAAAATTAGATGAGACATTAACACTAAAGTTGTGATCTACTGACGATGACAAAGAACAGTAGTAACAAAAATGACACAACTCACTTGTACGCCAGATTTCATATCATTAGCCTTGTTAATTTGAACCCAACAGTCTCATGCTGCCACTGTTTTTACACATTTCTACACACAGACAATCCCAGACTATTATCCTTTGTATCTGAGAGGCTGCTCCAGCCAGGGCCTGAGGCATTTTCCCCAGCAATCTGGATAGTGCTGACTGCTATTAGGGATTTTTCCCCAAAGTTCAGGACCAGCACACAGAATCACCAAAGAATCCTGACCTCCTGCCCAAGACCCTTTGGAACCTGGGCTACTGCATCCACTTTGGCCATAGCAGCCAAACAGAAAAAACAAACATCATCCCCAGGAGAAACTAGAGATTCATTTTCCAACAGAACCAATGTAATAAATTGGTGAGAGCTACATTTTGAGGAAACTATTAATAGAATAGTATGGTTCAGATACATGCTAGATTAAATAAACTCTGCTAAGTTCGCCTGAGCCTAGTCCATTTATGACATTACTTGTAGGGAAGTCCCTTCAATGCCTCAGTATTACTAACTGGAACATACACGTTCATGTTCTACAAAGTTCAAAGCACAAAAAAGGGTTTTTACTCTTGTGCCTCAACCTCAATTCACTATTCAAATCAGATCAACAGGTCTACAAGGATTTCTCCAGAAAGGCTTAAAGAAGCAGAGGAAGTACAGCTAAAGCCGGGGTCACTTTATTGCCTTGGCCTCAGCCCCAACTTTTCCACTAATCAAAACCAAATCCCCCTTTCAGTCCTAATGTCAGATTTCACTTCCAGCTATTGAATAAACCCCCACATTTTTTTCATTAGATACTGACACCCCTAATATATCAAAGCACAATTCAGTGAAAGCCATTCTAGGGACTGGAATGACAGCGAGCTGAACAAGAGACCTTCCACTGCCCCAGCTAATTCAGAGTCCAACTTTCACCCAACCACAGGACTGACTGCCTGCTCTTCCAGGCTGTCTGCCATAAGCAGCTCATGGTTTCTCTACATCCAGCTTGGAGGCTGCCTTGAGCTTAAAGTTCCACGCTCTGAAAAATTTCAGAGGGCAAGTTCTGTGTTGCAGGTGAGTCCAAAGCTAATAACTAAGAGAAAGAATGCTGTCTTCTTGGGAAAAAAATCAGAGGCCTCCAGGATATCTGCCTGCACAGAAATTCACTCCGTTCTTGATAGATGGGTGGCCACATGGCAGAGGCCTGATTCTAAATTGTTTCCTGTTCCTACACTCAGATGAATGTGTAATCAAGGTCCATCAGTTCTACACCACAAAGCCACGATAATTTTACCCTGGAAGAAATTTTTTAAGTATTTTAAAGCTAATGTTACCAAGGCCCTAAAATGCACCCACAGAAGAGCTGGAAAACGCTTGTGCTGCAAGTTACTCCTAAATAACAAAATAAGGTGACATCCTTTATGTGGTATCAAACAATTACGATTTGGTGGTTTTGGTTTGGAAATAATTGATTTGACCTCAATAGCTAAAACAAATTAAGCACGTAACAAATGTTCAATAATCATTTCTTGAATGAATGAACAAATAAATGAATTAGCAATAAATGACACTTAAAAAATAAAACAACAACAACAAAAAAAGCGTAGGAAGGAAATAGTGTTTCATCAAAATATTCATATAACATCCCATTATGTTTTTAAAAATTAACCTTTCTATTTTGAGGTCCCTGTAGTTCACATGTGGGTTTAAAAAATAACAGAGCTAGATCCCATGCAACCTTTTCATATTCAGTAGGTAATACATAGTCACAACATGGCTTTTACCTACACAGTATACACATGAATTAAATAGCATCCAAGCAGTCAGTCTTTGTATTGCTGCTTAACTAGCGGTGGCAATGTTAAAATGAATTTTATTACAAGAATTAACAAACAAACAGGGCCGGGCGCGGTGGCTCACGCCTGTAATCCCAGCACTTTGGGAGGCCGAGGTGGGTGGATCACAAGGTCAAGAGATCGAGACCATCCTGGTCAACAAGGTGAAACCCCGTCTCTACTAAAAATACAAAAATTAGCTGGGCATGGTGATGCGTGTAATCCCAGCTACTCAGGAGGCTGGGGCAAGAGAATTGCCTGAACCCAGGAGGCGGACGTTGTGGTGAGCCAAGATCGCGCCATTGCACTCCAGCCTGGGTAACAAGAGCGAAACTCCGTCTCAAAAAAAAAAAAAACAAAAATCATATAATGGACTTTTCTTAAAAGAAACTAAAAAATAACTTTTAAGCATTAACATTTAGCCAAAAACAAGTCTTATAAACATAAATGTGTAACAAGCTTCCATCAACTACAGCATAAAATCCATAATTAAGTGTAAGTATATCTATATTTTATTTACCAGGGTTAAGGGATGTGTTGTTATATGGGAAACTATTGTGTAAACACCAGTTGCTAAATGTAGAAAAATACAGGTTGTCAAATAACTGGTTTTCTCTTGACAGATAATGAAACAATTACGTCTAAATTATGAAGGCTGGTAAAACAAAAGTAAAGGGAGGTCTATAGCTTAATATGTGCTACACCGTGGGAATGATGAGCAGCTGCCTGCTAGAAGGGTCACCTCAACAGAACTGGGGGAAGAGACTTCCTCACCGTTACGTCTGGAGGAAACACAGTTGTTCATCATAGGCATGAAGGGTATGTTAAAACAGCCTTCTCTAGAAGCAGAATCTAGCACCATAAACCTTATTCCTACATGCCAGCCTAGCCAGCATAGCCACACAATAAGAACCAAGTCAGACCTGTCCTGGTCAACACCTGGGAAAGCCACACTCTGAACCAGCAGCAGAAAAGATAACACAATGATGTAACCCAAATGTTTAAAATATATAGCAAAATAACACACTGTAAACTATTCCTCGTATCTTATCATGAATGATGAGGGAAAATGGAGGAGGAGAAAAATAAAGAATGGAGAGTGACAGAGACCAAGGGAAAGCCATGCAGAAAGAAACCAACAAGAAGTCACAGAGAAAAAGAGCAAGGACAAAGGCAAAATATATACCCAGAAAGGCAGGCTGGTTTGGAGATGCCCACACAGGAAGCAAAATGTGGAAATGAAAAATGGTCACAGAGCAGTCTTCCTATCTTGAGGCTCATGTGCATTAAAATAAAAGTGTACTTGTTGATTCTTGGAACAAGAATATGTCCAGCCCATTCTTTTAACAAATACCAAAAATGCTTCTAACGTATTTCTGAAATACATTAACATTAACAATAATCACACCAGCAGCAGCACTTTTTGTGAAAGCTTATTACGTCCCAAATTATTAAACTTATATGTTATCATCTCAGAACTACTTTAGAGGCGGTATTATTTCTATTTTTAAAGATAATAAAGGCTGGGCATAGTGGCTCACCCATCTGGGATTACAGAATCCCAGCACTTTGAGAGGCCAAGGCAAACAGATCACTTGACATCAGGAGTTCAAGACCAGCCTGGCAACATGGTAAAACCTCATCTTTACTAAAAATACAAAAAATTAGCCAGGCGTGGTAGCACATGCCTGTAATCCCAGCTACTTGGGAGGCTGAGGCAGGAGAATCGCTTGAACCTGGGAAGCAGAGGTTGCAGCGAGCCTAGATTGCACCACTGCCCTCCAGCCTGGGTGACAGAGTGAGACATCATCTGAAAAAAAAAAAAAAAATTAAATGAGGCATAGAAAAGTTAAGTAATATCTATGACTCCCCCATACACACCAAATGCATATGTTGAAGCCCTGACACCTAATGGGATGGTATTTGGAGGTAGGACCTTTGGGAAGTAATTAGGTTTAGATGAGGTCATATGGGTAGAGCCCCCATGTGCTAGATTAGTGTCCTTGTAAGAGAAGAAAGAGACTAGAGAATGCTCTCTTTCCTTTCCTTGTGAGAATAAACCAAGAAGAGAGCCCAATCAGCCAGCACTTTGATCTGTGAGAATGGTAAGAAATAACTGTCTGTTGTTTAAGCCAAATACCATCTGTGGTATTTTGTTATAGTAGCCCAAACTGACTAAGACAAGTCTCTTCTTAAACATCATATGCTATTCTGCATTTCAATTTTGGGATACTTCCAGTTGTGAGCAGAGACTCACAACTTCACCAAGAAGTTCATTAAAATGTCAGATAATTAGTATGTCCACCAGAAGTCACACTAAATATTACCATCAGAGACCACAACACACCAAAGATTTTATTGTAGTCTCATCTATTCTAGGCTAAGCATTCATTTTCCTTAAAATATCTGAACTGATTGGGTTTACTTTGACTCTTATGATAATTATCTATGTCCTTCTTTAAAAATGATATTTACAGAAAACTAGACACAACGGCTCAGGTATATCCCGACTGCTATACAATGTATATAATATACAGTGTGCTGTTTAGGTCTAGGTACTTGTCCCATGGGCTGGATTAAATACTGGGAGCTTGCAAAAAAAAGAAGTACTTATTTATTACTTAAATAAAAAACTGAAGAAGAAAAAAGTAGACAACAAGCAACTACAATACTTACTAGAGGCCAAATGGTCCTTCACATATAAAATTCAATATACCAAATTAGTCCTTCATGCATAAAATTTAACAGTCCCTCTATCATATTTTTCTTATCAAATACTTTAAGATGTAAAAGGACACACACTGGAATAAATGGGTAGCTTTCAAGATTTTGTTATTCACCAAAAGCTTGGAGATCTGCTTTGCATCTTTTGCTGAGCATCAAAGAAACTAAAATGAATAATCATAACATGGAGTATGGATTCATAAATAAACTGGGCCGGGCATGGTGGCTCACACCTGTAATCCCAGCACTTTGGGAGGCCAAGTCGTGTTGATCACTTGCGCTCAGGAGTTTGAGACCCCTCGCCATCATGGTGAAAGCCCATTTCTACTAAAAATACAAAAAATTAGCCAGCATCA